TCTTTTACGCTTCCTTATTGGTAGTCCTCCACGTAATAATATTCTCCATTGAATTTTCTATTTTATTACCTACCGATATTATTCTATTGCTTTCGTCAAGATGTTTTTGTGTCGGTAAAGAGAGAGTTCTTTGACTAATGAGGTGTCCTTTCCAATGTGCATAATTCGCGGCCGAATCTCGATCAGGTGCAACGACCATCCGGCGCGCATTTGATTTCACTAAAAGCCGGCTCTCCAATCCCATTAATTTGTGGCGATATCCAAATGTTTACTTTTCGCGAAGAGGTTTTTATTTGTACAGGTAAATTACTTACAGTGAGAACAAATTATTCTATGCATTGAATGCGAGTGTTGTAAATAAATGAGCTCATCTCATCGATTGAGACCAAATAAATAATTAACCGGAAATTAAGACTGGCTTCGAGCTGGCACGCGTTTGATAAAAATGATCTATATAATTGCCTAACTTTTGACTTTCCTCTTGTAAAATCCTAATTTCGAACATTGCGGCAATTGTGGTGATATAAGAATGGAAATAAAACGATTGGTATAATGTGTGTCTAATAAAGCAATATTGAGCCGGTAACTTTCACAATTTAATTCGATACCTATCTTAAATAAGTAGATGGATGCTTTTATCTGGCATAAACTACATAATCGAAATAATACCAATTACCCATAATATAATTTCTTTTTACTTGCCATCATTTTAAATGAAACTTTCTAACATATTACAGCATTTCCATTTGCTAATCCCGTAGCAACGAACTTAAGGGCCTGTATGCACTAGCGTCTTAGCGGACCCTACTCGCAAGAGCTGGAAGTTTTCAAAATATGTTCTTCTTCGAACTGCTAAGATTAATCGAGTAATCAGTTAGTTAATTGAGGCCATTAATCGACTAATCCGGAAACATAATTCGTAGTATGAAGCGATTTTTCACAAATGTATTTAAAGAAGTGATGAATAGTGGATTTCTCCTACCCGAATCGATTAGATTTAATTTAGTTGTTCGTCGATTTATATCACCGTTTTGGTTTTTACCTCGCAAATATAACTGATAACAGAATTTTGAATTAAAATCACCCTCAAAGGATTATGCCTAAACTAATCTTATATCACTTGTTTTAAACCTTCGATTGTTGGCGGAGTGGATGCAGGTATCTCGCGCGCCACCAGGAGATTATGCCTCTGGCCGAAGTCGGCGAGGCGGTCTCGTAGTTTCGGAAGCCACAGATAATTCAGACGTACTAACGGAAAACTTAAGGGATCTGTCACTGGCGAATAATCTTAAACAAAATTAACAGGCAAGCACCCCCTTTGTAAGAACGATAATGAAAAGTGTTAAACACTTTCCTTTAAATTAACACAAATGCCAAACTCAACTCACCAAAATTGAAAATACCTCGTAAAATACGAAAGATTCCTTCCTTAATAATCCTCTCACCTTAAATAAAATTCGGCAATTTCTAGAAGGGAACGCTCTCGGGAACGCTGCTAGGAACGCTGGGTTTTCCAACCAGTACAGCGGACTCGTATGATAACCGAGATGATAACGCTCAAAAGTAAAACTTCTTTATTTAGTTGCTCGAGTCTCCCTGACGTGCTAAAAATCTGGAATACGGAACATCTTGATAATTTAGCGCGCGTGCAATGACATCCAACCAAATCAGACGAGGTTGGCTGCAGCACATCTAATGGGTAATTAATCAATATCTGCCCATAATACTTTAATAAACGATTAACAACAACCGAAAGTTTACGATTACTTTCGGACCTCCACTGTGTCCATTCTCAAGTAAAAAAGTTTTGTGAAATTATCTAAATGTGATTATAAAAAACTGACGGTTAACATGACTATTTTTTTTACTACACGTGTTCCCCTTGTTACTTGAGGATGGACACAGTGAAGATCCGAAACTTGTCGTAAACTTCTGCGAATTTGTTAATCGTTTATTAAAGTATTATGGGGAGATATTGATTACTTAATTGATTCACTTCAAACCACATTTCAAGATGGATTCTTGGTCTAATTAATTGGTCGGGTTCAAATTTTTGAATTCGGAAGTTCCCACTGTTCCTTGAATTTTCAGATCAAGCGAAAGGTCTGCTTATCTATGTACACGACTCGTTTTCACGTAAAATTCCGAACATAAAATCGGGGATTAATTAATAAACTGAACTGAAATCATACAATATTAGTTTTCGCCCATCTTCCCAATGACGAGAGCTTTCGGATCCTGCAATAGTTATTTATATAACACGAGCGCGAAGTTCAATTTCCGCATTGAGACTGAAGGTATTTTGACGAGGCGAAGCCGAGTCAAAATATCAGTCAAATGCGCGAAGTAACTTCGCGCTAGCGTTATATACAATATTTTTTTCTAGAACTGTATCGATTGTTAATTAAATTTGCTGTTTAAGTTCAACTTTGTCACGTGAGCGAAATACTTTTTTTCACTGTTGACGATTTCGCGCACGTTGTCAATAGCTTATTAATTTTATTATTAATTATTAATTAAAAATCTAGTACTTCGCGTTTCGAAACTCGTCAGAAAATGACAGGTTTTTTTGACAGTTGTGGAAAAAAATAATTAAAATACGTGCACGGGACGGTGCAAAATTGTTATCTTGATTTTGTTACTATTGGTAGCTGTAATCCGGCACAAATTACTTCTAAACTTAACGCTTCCTTGACTAAGTATTACAAAAAGTTACTATTCCCAATATTAATAACAAAATGTAGGATTCTCGTTGTCTAGTAATAATTTAGTGAAAAAATTACATTCCTGGAGATGCGTCCACATATAAAAATTTTTTATACAATTTAATTTCATTTTTGATGTTTCAAACCTGTTAAAGTAAATGACGGCAAATGTAGATAGTGTATAAAAATATTATTTGCGGTAATCGACCACTTCAAACATACAACATGAAATTCAATAAGTCGATGCTTCTAGAGCTTTCAGAGCATTTAACCGCATTTCATGATTTCATGATTCCGATACTTACCGCAATAGTTTCTAATTGATAAGTTATCCTCTGAAATTGAACGTCACCAAAACTTTAATTCACGCGTTTGAAACTTCCACTATTGTTCGTATTTACCGTAATAGTGTCTAAGTCGCAAATTATCCTTGCAGCGAACCTCGTAAAGGAAAAGGGAATTGGCCACGGCTAGCCAGGGGAAACTGGTCTTCCGGTGAAACAACCACAGAGGTTTGACAAAGCTCATATGATTTTTGGACGCCAGGCGTCCAACAAGTCACGCAAAAAAGTATATTAAAAAATCAACTAAAAACATAAAAATACAAGCTTTGTGAATCCCCGGGCACGGGTGTGTATTATCAAACAGTAACGACAAAAGCAAAGATGACACACTTAATTAAGCAGACATATGCAACTTTTGTATTAAAAATTATGCATATTTCGTCACGCCATTGGCAAAAATAAACGGCAAGATCTCAACTACCGGAAATTACCAACAGGTTTGTAATTTCGCGGTAGGTGAGATAACATTTGCTTACCGATTCTTCGATCTTACATACAATCTAATAGATCAGTTCCAGTTAATCTACAGATAGCAAGCACTCCTCAATTCGAAAGCGAGTGTTTGCATGTCAGCCAGAACGCGGTACCTACTTCTTTAATACGAACACCCCAATGCTCGTAACGTACAAAGAAAAATATCTCCTAAAACTGTAATGCCAAAATTAAACCTAATTCCAATTAAATCGAACTTACGTACCCCATTAATAAATGGGTTTCGGGTTGCGATATAGGGCAAACAAAGCTAGATAATTAAATAAACACATATAGCGTAACCTATAAAAAGAAACGTGTTAATAAAGAGAAATTCTATGAAAATAACTTTACATAAAGAGGATACAGCTACTGACCCATTCGCGAAAAGACGCTTAGATAATTAATTTAAACAATTTTAGAGTGATAAATTGATGACTGGAATTTTCGACAAAACCAACTACTCCTAAGACACTAAGAGCTCACTTACACAAACCAAGAGTACATTCAACGAAACATTACTTCCTTTGTAATTGAAAGTCACCACAACTTTCATTCGGCGTTTAAACTTTACGCGTTTGTGTTATTTTTGAGTGGGCGGGGTTTCAGCCAAGGCTGCTCTGTGCTCTACCAACCCAACCCACTATAAATTTACAATATCCATGCCGGAACCCGGATTCGAACCAGGGACCCTTTCTTTTCGCAAAATGTAACACCGTACCGTAATTTACAGATGTTTCCCTCACGGCGTAACGCTCACTACTTTTTTTTTTTATTCACACCCATCCCTTGACGCAAACCTTTTCCACCAATGAACTAACTGCATAGAACCAATTACATTCGTAGACGGCTATTTCAGGTCAACGTGAAATTTTCCGCTTAGTGTACAAATTCATATGACACACCAACCCTGATAAAGACGACCCACGATTCGGCGACATCTTAACCCTTTAAACCCATTTAAAGTTGGGACCGTATTTAAGGGCCACAATTATGGCACTTACAGTGGCGACTTTCCAAAGGTTTTTGCATGTCACAGTCGGTGGAGAAACACCAAACTTGGGTCATCTGCAGTTTTGCTAACGACACAAACATTTGGACTTTGGAGCCCTTTCCTCACACAACTTGCTAGAAATTGCTTTCCAATTACAATTCACTAAACCACAGCAGTTTGATGTATGGCGTTACGCTAATTCGATCATCTTCCACTTTTATGTAATTTCATTCCATAATCAGTTATGTGATTCAATTTAATTGCTCAAAAATTCACATATACGAGGTTAATGAATATTACGACGCCCGTCAAGTGTGAAGCTCAATTACATAAACGCTGCAAATTCGAAATTGGGAGATAGGTACCTAGCACGTGTAGGTATGTGATGGATTGATATAAGCCAGTCATTTGGAATAACTGATACGCGATAATGTTATCATACAGCAGCGCCAGTATATTTAAGAATTGATTTTCATTCATTTTCTACCAGTCCGGTGGAAGTGTTTTGAGTGTACTTACCTGTGTTTGGCACGCGGTTGGATATTAGTTGTGCTCTACTTGTCCGGCAATCAAAACAAATCAGTTTTGGTAAAGAGTAGATATTTGCTTGAATGAGGTACCTACACACTTCTTCTTTTTTTAATAATTGTTTGGTGTGTGATTTCATTGTATTTGGCTTTAAGTTTGTTGTGGAAAGCCACACCGACTTCAACGTTGTTGTGACCAATGGTCCATATATTTGCGTTTATGTCATATTGCTTGTGTTTACAGAAAAAGGGCGTAATAAAGCAATTTGTTTACCTTGAAACAATTAATTTACGGTTGCTAATACAAACGCATTTTAACAACATTAGGTACGAGCTAATTAATATTGGAAAATTTGTTTTCGTGTAACAATCCACGACAAATTCTATAAAAACTAACAATGATACATTTTAGCATGAAGACTTCCTTCAAATGAAACTGTCACTTTTACTTTCACCTTATTAATTTCATTTTTTACATACACTGTCATTTACCGAAGTAATAATGATGTTTACAAATTTGCACAATTCCTTGCTATTGTAATTTCATGCATTAATTCGATTAGAAGTTTAATAACAGTTAACTTTCGCTAGGTACGTACAGAAAAGAACACGTTTTATTTGTGTGCCCCAATTGTAGTACTTTGACTCATGGTACTTATACTTGATATAAATTTGTGTACAGTTACTTATTTCTGTTAACACATCATAAAATTGCATTTAGTTCGCCGTGTTAACTTTTAGCATTTTTATAACTAAATTTAGATAATTCAACACAAGTGTCGTGGATTTAGAAATCTTTGGAAAAAGTGTAAACAACACGATTAAATATAGATTCTTTGTGTCTATAATTATTCTTGTACACATTTTGGTGCAAAACGTAAACAGTAATTAGATAATTAAACACTTGTGGGATAATTTCATCACCGTGTAACACGTTTATTTCCATTTAAAAATCAAAAGAGATTCACATATAAATATTTAGCGTCTTCAAAATCAAAAAAACAATGAAGAGCGTTTTACTTACGTCGGACGGAAATTTATGTCTCCGGAATGCATTCTTAACTTGCAGCAAAGAGATCCGACATATGTTATGGTAGAAAAAAGTAAAATTATAAAGAAAGCACATGCATGAGATTGCGTCAGTAGAAGTGCAAGTCTTACGCCATTAAAGAAACCGTGCGAGTTGCGACTACTAGTTACTGAATAGTTTTCTTGTAATACTACAGATTTTTAATCCTTCTCAATGATAAGGATTTAATTACTCACGTGTTACCATGCATGGAGCATTTCCACTCCCAGATTTAGTTGGGGTTAACTGTAAGTTTGACATTATGTAACTAGTTAACTGGTTAGCACACATTTTCCCGAAAAGAATTAAAAAATAAGAGTGCGATGGCATTACCTAAGTCATGTTCTTAGACCACCATAATCGTTGTCACAAGCCACCCTATAATTCTTGACGTCAAAAGATGCCGCCTTTAGTCAGGATGAAATTTTAGTGCCATACATATAGAACAAGATTCAATATTCTAAATCTCATTTATTTTTCAAACGAGATGACACATTTTATAGCCTGGTGGGTTGCAAAAAGTAATTTCTCTTCGATTGATTTATGAATAGCCACTTGTAGACGATCTATCGACATTTTTGTTTAATTTTCTTATATACACGGTGTAAATTCCCACCTGCAAGCAAGCTATAAGACTTAATTTCCAAATCAGTTTCTCTTCCATAAGGACCGCAGCCGTAAAAATTGGGATTATTAGACCTAAGAGAAAATTTTCGGTAGCCAATGTTTGTGCAATGGTTGGATCCAAGGTTGGATATAACATTAATTTATGCAGAATCTTCCAATTGAACAATAGCCATTGTAGTCGTTTCAGGATTTGCTTCTATCCCAATTACACAGAGAAGTCCCTTAGGAAGGCGACGGTTTGGCAATTTGTCTGATACAGAATTTTCGTCCGCTTCAAACAGATGCCCGAGGATGCCTAACCACCTTTTTAAACAAAATTTGATTGTACACTACAGGGTGGTTCAAATTGGACACTTTCTTATAGAAACACCCTGTATCTGTATTACTTATTAAATTTTATATGACTTATTTGTTTTATTCACATGAGTTGTCACGTTCTTTGTTCTTTGTGTGTTATTTGAAATTAAAAATATTTGGAACTAATAAATTGGTACTTAGATCAAAATTTTGGAGTCTCTGGTTCAAAAATCTGCTTCACGTTTGAGTTTTGGCTAATCAAAAGTTTAAAATTGTGAAGAGAAAAAAAATAGATTCTTTGCTATACCTTATTTCGTAAGTGGTGCAGAAAAAAATCCTCTCTTGGTGCAAGCTTCGACAACAGTGAAAAACGCAGGCAAGACAAATATCTGATAGTAGCGAGGCGGACGGGCAGGCAAAGTGACCACAATAGCTCACTTTTTTAATTTTTCTAAGAAGGTTTGTAGGCAAATTTGTAAAGAGATTTCCGAGATTTTAAATATCCTTATAGATGATCTTGCTAATCAGTTTGTTGACAAAATTCATGAATAAACATTGATTAATTTTCGTACATAAGGAGGTAATAAAAAAAGAACAAGTCGCTCCTTTAGAAAAATAATTAACTGAACAACGGCTAGTTCATATGAAGTTGAAAATTGAATCATCGGTTCCCTCTGTGAAGTGGATAATTCTTAGTTTACCTTAGCTCGAATGGAATTTGGATCTTATTTGGATAGCCGTCTGATGTCTCAGAATTTCCGCGTATGTAATTTTCATTTCATTTTCATAGATTACTGCGCCAATTTATCTTGCATTAACGAAAAATCGGCCAACCGCAATTATAACTGGTTTTGTATAAAATTGTCACTTTGGACTTTGCCAACGTAAGGCTCCCATAGGGTAGTATGTGAAATCTTGCATATGACCAACATATACCACGTTGCATTTTCCACGATATTAAAATGATCTCATGCGTGTTCAGTGGTTTGGAGTAGATAAGGCCAATTAACATCCGAAACACATTATGAAATCAACGCTCTACAGAAAAGAAAAGACAGAACGGACAATCTTCATTTCCACCAAATGCTTACAGGTTTATTTTTGAAGTTTCACTTCCCATATAATTTATTGGAAAACCGGCCCTCTAACTGTGACACCCTGTAGCCTTTCTATGTTACGTAAAGCCCAAACTTCTCTAACTTTAAACATCTAAAAAAAATGAACATTACCTGTCTCTTTAAAATTCGAAAAAGTAAAACCCAATTTAGAGCTACCGTTGCACTAATTAGATATTTTTTGTGATTGAAGTATGAAAATAATTTAGTTGAATTTTAAGAGAGAAATTAGGAAAAAGCATAGCATTTTAAATTAATCGAATAGGTCTGTTTTTATTGAGACCTGAAAATACGAATTATTGAAAAATATGGCATTTAAAAAAACTCTGAAGTTTAGATATGCATGAGACTTAACAAAAAGCACGTACAATTTTTATAACTATCCATTATTCTAATAAAATATAAGGTGTTCCATTTAAAATTACAAAGTTGAGCCTGATATCACATTTATGGAAAGTATTTTTGTGTTACGCTCATTGAAGCATCAAACAAAATTGTACCTATTTTAATATTTTTTGTAACATCGCTCTGTTATAAAATATCGTCTGATGTCTCACCCTGATTCGGTATGTAATTACTATAACCTTCAGTGGAACCTATCGAATAGGTCATTTTGACTATAGAATTATTGTAGGTGCACCTGTAACAAAAACGGTAGGTTCTTCAAAAATGAAGTGTTGTGAGAAGTGTACGAATTTTTTGAAAAAATATTGCATTTAAAAAAACTCTGAAGTTTAGATATGCATGAGACTTAACAAAAAGCACGTACAATTTTTATAACTATCCATTATTCTAATAAAATATAAGGTGTTCCATTTAAAATTACAAAGTTGAGCCTGATATCACATTTATGGAAAGTATTTTTGTGTTACGCTCATTGAAGCATCAAACAAAATTGTACCTATTTTAATATTTTTTGTAACATCGCTCTGTTATAAAATATCGTCTGATGTCTCACCCTGATTCGGTATGTAATTACTATAACCTTCAGTGGAACCTAGGTCAAAAAAAGAAATTTTAAATTCAATTCATTTTCTATTATTGTGATTTTTGGGGTCATTTTGACTATAGAATTATTGTAGGTGCACCTGTAACAAAAACGGTAGGTTCTTCAAAAATGAAGTGTTGTGAGAAGTGTACAGTTGAATTTTAGATTACTCGTATTGGAATTCCTGGGGGAAAATGAGTTTCGAGTTGTTTTCAGTTTCAGCAAGGAAAAATGTAAAGAGAAGATTTTAAACATTTTGGATTGTTTCTCAAAATATGTGCAAAGAGTAAAGATAGAAATTTGATCTCAAAACGATAATAAAAATAAATTACCTATCGCCTGCTGATCTGAATAATGCATTATAATAATTAATAATAGTAGTATCGTCTTGCTAAACAACACATATTCATGTTTACATTAGTAAATGTCTACTAATTTCAAATTATGCCGCAAGTCTGCATAATCTTTACAAATTAAATTCGTGTATGGGATTGGAAAGGTGCTATATGATCCTGTAATTTGAGATAATTAATCGCTAGTAAAAATGTTGTTAAAATGTGGTTACTTAATGATTTTTTTCTGAAATAAAATTCCAAACAGATGTTACTTTTGAGTAATAACCTCTAATTTTGTGAGGGAGGTGAACATATTGGGAAATACCTAATAAATAATAATAGCCTGAACTTCTCTTTAAATTGAATTAAAAGAATAATTAAAAACCTGGAGCAAGCCCCACAAATAAGAGAATTAGCTTCGAGTTTGGTATATCTAAACAGACAGACGCGATGAAAGTAAAGCAAATTTGTTTCTAAAAAATCTTCAACATAAAAAACGACTGTTTTGACATAATTGGAATATTACTCTTTTCTCACAAATACAATGCACATCATGCAATGGGATTATTACCAAAAATGTTATAAATTAGTTTATCAATGCGGATCGAGTGTACGTACACAATAGCTACACTGAAGTATTGCCCAATTGTTTTTTTTAGTTAAAACATTGTAATCGTTACTTCACCTCTTTACAATAGTAAAATGATGGGAAATGTCACATGATATCAAGTTTTTTTTAAAATACCTAATTAAATACAATTAGCGTTAACATACGAGTATTTCTACCTTGTTCCATTTCGCAAGGTTCAAAGTTGACAAGGTAACAAGGATCATCATAATTAAATAATTGAATGGCGTGTATGTTACCATTGTGAATAGGGTCGATGGTACATTGCGAAAATACGCTTTGTCTCAAGTGCAAATATAATGTATAACGGCCGAATGTAATTGGCCGTATCTTATCCGTATCTTAAAAAACCGTAGAAATTACTGAATCGTTTTCTTAGCAAGTGTGGTGATGGACAATTCTTGCAGGTCAACCTGTTCCTAAACTAGTTCGACAGCAAAAAAAATGGTATAGAACAACTAAATTAAAAACTGTTAATAACAACAAAATTATCCGTGTTACAGAAGACCTATACACAGCTATGCAATGGCGACGGAAAAGTTTCAAAATACCGGAGGTTTGTATAGAACGAAGTTTACGTTTAATATTTGCCTAAATCCTATTTAGATTAGATAACAATTACAAACAACGTGTTTTGTTTAATCTGCCTTTAATTATCAAACAAGGTACTCAAAAAGTGAAGACATTTCAGCTGCTTCGCCAACTTTTCAGCACACTAAAATGCATTCTTACTAAAATAGTTTGGCCTACATAATTGATTATTTTTGGATACTCAAATAAATTGTAATGGACCAGGAAGAGTGGAAGATAGTGGTGTATTTCACACCTTCGTTTCATTTCCCGGTTCCAGTAGGATCGACAGGTTCAAATTACACATGTCTTACTTAAGTTGTTCAAATTGTTTGTATCAGGTTTGGGAGAATACTAGAACAAGTTAAAATTGTTTGTGATATTAATCTTAACGCGTGATAGTTAATATCGTTTCTATTTATTTTCTCAAAGTGTTTTGAGACTGTTGTTGAAGTACCTAAACACATCAGGTATTAATTATATATTATAGTAAATCTGCGAACCAAAAGCAGCTGGAATAACAACTAGTTCGTCGACTTTATGCTCATCTTCTGTAACTGAGGAAATTTGGCCCATCCCCCCATACCCCGTCCCAATTGTTTCTCACACTATTTCTTTAGAAGGCTCTGTATTTTTATGCAATAGTAAAAGATTTCGTCCAGAATTTCTTCGAGTACGAGCACCTGTACCACTTGCACGATAAACCTCTCCCGTGTTTTTTTGTACGTAGGTATGTTATCTCATCTAAAAATTTCTGCTGGGGCAGTTATCAAACTCTTCGCTATTTTTTCCAATGGTCTCGATGTTGATTATTTTTGATTATTTGGTGATCTTTTGAGACAACAAAAATCGTTTAGCGTACATGCATCAACGAAATATCCGCATTGCAAAATAGAGAGCTAACTTCACCCTATAGTATCGCCATATGGATATAAATAAATAATAAGATTATATTTAAACATTATTGCTCTTTCGTTTTGTGTCACCAACTGGAAAATGTCATGGGGAGCTGCATAAAAAAAGTCAGAAACGACTTCACACTCATCTTGTCATTTACAGTACTAGTAGAAATTAAAAAAAAAATGTTCCAAAACCCACTCGTGAGTATTGCCGCGTAACACAAAGTATTGAAACGACGCATCGTCACCAAAAGCACACAAAATGTCGAATCTGCATATTGAAGCACATCCACGTCCAGAGAAAGAGAGGAGTTATAAGTTATAAAGTTTCAAAGAAATATTACCATACATAAGAAAGTTGGCTATGAGCAGCCTGTGCAGTCACTGCGTATGCCCACATAATTTTTACTATGTGCGAAATGTTTGCCTTTACTTTACAGGCGCTGTGGTTAAAATTTCAAACAAATATCTCCACAAATAAGAAATTTGGCATTGCGCAGTATGCCCACACATCACTGCGCATGTCCACACATTATTTTTACTATGTGCGAAATGTTTGCCTTTACTAGAAGCGTCTGTGGTTAAAATTTCAAAGCAATATCTCCATAAATAAGAAAGTTGGCATTGCGCAGTCACTGCGCATGCCCACATAATTTTTACTATGTGCGAAATGTTTACCTTTACTAGAAGCGCCTGTGGTTAAAATTTCAAAGAAATATCCCCATAAATAAGAAATTTGGCATTGCGCAGTATGCCCACACATCACTGCGCATGCCCACACATTATTTTTACTATGTGCGAAATGTTTGCGTTTACTAGAAGCGTCTGTGGTTAAAATTTCAAAGCAATATCTCCATAAATAAGAAAGTTGGCATTGCGCAGCTGCGCATGCCCACATGATTTTTACTATGCGCGAAATGCTTATCTTTACTAGAAGCGTCTGTGGTTAAAATTTCAAAGAAATATCCCCATAAATATGAAAGTTGGCATTGCGCAGTCTGCGCAACATATGGAGTTAAATGAAACTGATCGAATTGGGCAAATATAGACCATAACAGCTATCAATTAGCGAAAACCCGAAGTCTCTAGGTGGCCCAGGGGCCGAGATCTCGATGGAACGGACGGACGGACGGACGGAAACACGAGCACATAAGCTTTACCTCAACTTCGTTGTGTTACGCTAAAAACGGTACTTAAACCCTGACTTATGGCCATTTGCACTAACAAATTTAAGTTGAGCTTAGCTTAAGCGTAGCAACGATTATTGCGACAATGGTTATTATGGATTTTAAGCTACACAAGCCACAGATAAAATTTTATCTGTGTTTAAGCTAAACTCAGCTTAAAAATTTTCTCGGTGCAAACGGCCATTAAACTTTAATACCTTAATACGTTGCGGTGTCGTAAAATTAAAAAAAAAATAACTAACTTGGCCCAAAATGCACGCGAGCAAAGCGAAAAATGCCAAAAGTTCCCCTCTAAATCATGCTGTTACCTTATATAGAATTCCTAAGATACGAAAAGGAAACATAGGAATTTCCATCCGAACGGCGCACTCGGATGATAACGTGCAAAAATCAAAACTTGTTAATTAATCACGCTTCATTTAACACTAGAGACAATCTAAACAGACAATGTGTGCTACAATACATCTAATTGGCTCACTTAATTTGCCCATTCTTACATGGAATTTCAGATCAATCGCAAAAGGTCAGCGATAATGCAATAAACTGCACGAGCTTGCAGTTTTAATGCCCGTTTTCACTTAACATAAAATAAACTAATATCGGCATAAAATTATAGGCGCCCTTTAGAAGAGATTTTGTCTTTTAAAAGTAGACATAGAGAAAAACAATACACGTAAATCCTATGTCTACGTCTTAATAAATATTACTGTACAATATCATTAATAGTGTTTGGCTACACATGATATAAGTTAAATAATCCGAGTGAAAAGGGGGCGGGAGAGAAAAATAAATATGCCATATTGCAAAACCTATGCAACTCTTAAATAATGACAAATTATTCATTTCAAGAAAAAAAGATTCTAATGTGAGTATAGTTCTATGGATGATTGCGAATAAAGCAAAGCGTTCAACGAAAAAAGCCTCTGTAGTTCTTGTCGAAAATCCTTATAGTCTACAAGTATTCACACGCGAAAGGAACACACAGATAATACTATCACTATAATTGCGTAAACTTTAGGAGATGATAGAGAGCCGAATTCGCTATCTGTTTCCAACATATACAGGGTCGCTGATAAGTCTGGAAATGGTCGATTATCGGGAAAATTATAAAAGGTATCAAACGAAAAAATTCGAGGTTCTTTAATGTCCACTAGGCAGTAGTAATTTTAATTATACAGCGTTGGTAATAGAGGCGTGGCACATCAAAATTGCATTTTTTAAATGGAACACCCTGTATATTATTCGATATTTCAATTCATCTCTCGATTTTAAGCATAATTTGTAACCAACCCAACCCAACCCACTGTATATTTACAAATATCGATGCCCGAACTCGAATTCGAATCGGGGACCCTTAGCACCACAGTCCAGCTTTAACTGAACTGCACCACGCGGGCCGGCAATATATAATCTTATCAAGTTGCAGAATACCGTACAGAAATCTTTTGTCGTAGTGGTCCACCTCTGGGTTCTCCACTTCAGGTCTGAAGTCTGAACTCGACCGACGGCATGGGGTTAAAGTTATTTTTGGTTATATAGCAGCACTGCTCTGATTCATGGTGGGTCCCCTCTCACTTTTTCACTTGAGTTACTTCAGTTACTTGGTATAGTGTTTGGATTAGTTTGCTAATTAGAGCACAAATTTGTATATGGTAAAAATCTTAGGTTGACATGTTTAAGGGAGAGAATGAAGATTTTTTATGACAAGGAATTGGTGGCGTTGGTGCCATTCCAGTTTCTATTTAAAAAGCAATAGCACTCAAACAGTTTCGAATGATTAGCCAATCTCATTGTTCAAAACGAAATTTATTATTAATCCACCTAGAACGGACTGTGTTATGAGTGCTTTAAAAACGGTGTAAAGGTAAATCGTACGTGCCTATACGTTATGCTAGGTAGAACAAGTTTACGCCACTTTTACGAGTTTTATATTGGTGCAGTGCAGGTTTATTTTTAGGTGCACGTATGCAATAAAGCAAACGGTTTAGCATTTTTGATCTTCCATGTAAATCACTTCAGTGGATATAACATAAGAAAATACCATCCTGCCACCACCTGTCCCATTCTGCAGGTGTAGAGGTACTATAATAGCTTTCCTTTTTCCTTCAGATTGTAACCCCCAATCCATGGTCAGTCACCAGATGCAATATTTATCGTCTTTATTTTTTTAAAGCTACGATTACGCTCACTATGCCCTCCCTTCATATACCTTTCTCACTATCCGAGCTTTCTATTGGCGTGCAGTAGTCTTCTGATTATTCACTTGCAAAAATATACATTGGCCAGGGAATGTATTGGACAATTTTAAGTGATTTTATTACAACGATAGCGTTTATAAGTCAGTTACTATGTAATTTATTCAAAGAATCATTCTTTGACTGTTCTATGCCGGAATCACACTGCGTACCAGTTCTTTCTTAATTCTTAGAAAAATGTGCTAAAAAGATAGTCCTGAATTTTTATTTCCGAGATTTCTGAACATAGGCAACTTTGGTTTTGGTAGGACTTCTCCAAACATCGTCTTATGTCTATTATATTACTGTCTCATTGATTTGCCGAGTCTGGTTTGTTAGGTTTGCTGTCTCATAATCAATGGGCCCATATTTACCAAAGGAGAACTAAAAATTCTAGGATGGACACAGTAAAATGAGCCCCATTTGAACTGGACTAGTTTGTTTTTTATATCGCAATTATACTGACAATAGTGACAATATCACGGCAACAGAACCGATTTCCTCTACGTTAATTGCTATCAAGGCACGTGAACATCTCTTTATTGTATGGAAGGTACCAATTATTGCTCATCGCTTAGTAATCGTGATTGTGTTTAAATTGCGGCGCGATGCGTAGCATTGAAAGAATGAATAATCGCATATTACGTGCTTTTTAAATCACGTGCAATTGGCTATTGCAACTTATTGTTAGCTTATCTTTGAAAGCCTTAATAGGTGTTTTAATTGATTTTTTATGTAATTGAAAAAATCTCGGAAAAAATATTGGCGTGTAGCAATTCATACCGTTCATAACGCGTGTTAACGACAGATATATAATAGTCAAAGTACGTTGTACTTTAACGGATTCATACATGCTTTTTTATCACTTAACAAATATAGGTACATGTAATTAATTCTGTTATCACCCTACGGATGCGTTGTAGGTAGGTAGGTACGTAGTGTTCTGGTTGGTACAATACGCTCATTTATTATTTAACAACGCGTCCATAAAACCTTTTCAAACATATTTTCTATGCAAATTGCGTTTCCAAATTAGTTTTGGAATTACGCGTGTATGGTTCGCATCTAATCATTGCCATTAATTGTGGTTTATTGTTTTTTTCAGGAGCTGACAAAGGAGAATCCGGTTAAAGACCACACCATAGAAGAATTGAAGTTAAAACTTGGAAATAAAGACCTAGGTAAGTTACCGTATAGAAATTTTACTGAACTCAAAATGCAAAAACAAACTTTCGCTTTCGTATGAAAGTACCTTATTTACCATACGCCTTATAAATGAAAATTAATCATATAAAATTAGCGAAAAAATTTAATTATAAACAGGCGCGCGCGTTCGCTTTTTCCATAAAGCACAGAACTATAAATAACTCACCACCTTGAACTACATCTCCTTAATAGGATAACAAATATTTCTAATGACGTTAAAACAAAAGTCGAGAAACATGCGGAATATCTCACTTCCATTTCAGCCGGTTCCGCAGGCGAAATGATCCGTCAAAAAATACACCTCTTCGAAATCGGTGTATCGAGTGAGTTTTTCTGATTACAAGTTAGCTAATTGTACTTTCTCTTTCTCCAGATTCGGATATAGATATGATACCGGAATCGCAAAAGGCTCCACTTCATTCACCTGCGCAGCCCCATTTTACCGAGGACGGCCTTATTATACCACGAAAGCCCGGAAATCCAATGCTAGAAAATACGGACCGACAAAATCTACACAGGGAATTATTATTTAATCAAAAAATGTAAGTACGCCGAAAAAATCAATTTATCTTGCTTTATGCACCTATTATACGTCGGTATATTGTCGGTATGAATATACCTAGTTGTTTAATTCGGTCTAAATCTAAGATATAATTTTTGAGTATAATTAAACACCATTTAAGCACGCGATTTGCAAAAAGTACTACTACTTTTTTGTGGTTTTCCGGTACAGTCTAATATAAACAAAACTACCCCATAAAGTATAATTATTATATTTTTAATAATAATATAATTAGTGTGGTCTATTCTAGGTCCACCTGTTGTTTAGTCATTTAGTGTATATAATTAGTGTATATACCTACACTTCAAATTTGCATACCTCGCTTCAGAACTGTAACTCTTGTTTTTATGAAGATGACTGCCAAGTATGCATCGGTTTTTACTTTGATAACCTTAAAAGCGCTGAAATAAATTAAATTCAACCATTGGATAATCCAACTTAGGAAGGTTTGTGAAGCCTGCGCGGGAAATCAGACAGACATTTTCCATTTGCCAGGAAATAACAAATTTATTATCAAAAAAAAAGCAGAGACTCCAAACTGTGTCAATAGCTAACTGATAATTGAATAACCCGAGGAATAACCACATCAAGTAGGAAAGGTCATATAGAGAATCGCTTAATTTAATTAATCAATGAGCAATTTCGAAAAGATTTGATAACATCATAGCACCTGATGCTATGTGGAACCCCGTCCCCCCCAGAAATTTAAGTATTTTTTCCATTGACTGGGTGAGCAATAACAACCAATTATTTTTAAATACACAGATTTCACACAGATTTGAATCAGTCTGTATCGCGTATATTTTGAATGTGTGCTTTTTAAATGCGAAAAGGGCGCTAGGGCGCTTTTATAGATATACTTATGTATAAAAAAAAGACATTGACAGTGGGACATTATTATTGATGAGTAACACTTTTATGTTAAACAGAAAAAAGTCCCGACCCCCTACAGATGGACGGTCGGAGAGGGGCGCAAGATCGGTGTTTACCATAGGCGTCATTTACCCACGGTACCTACGCCTCTGATACACAGCATTGATATAGACAAGGTCATTGAAAGGTTTTCGGCATGTGGACATCAAAGACTTGATTTTATTGTTCGAAATGGAATCCTGACCTACCTCACCTATACATGCTTATGTTGGAGTATCAAAAAAGTAGAAAGAATAAAAGTTATGTAAAAGATTCTCTTAGTAAGTGGGTATTTTATTATTTTCCATGAGTTTTTAAGATACAGTACCAAAGTTTTTTTTTTCAAATGGAATGTATGAAATTTTTTCCACCAATAAATTCCTTATTTTTTTCTAATTTGAAAAATGCATAGTTATCAGTATGTTTGATAAGACAGAAATTGCAATAAATAGGGAAAACCATTATTCAGTCTTGAAAATGTGAACTAAATACACGTAGGTAAAATAACCAATAAATAACCCAATTATTGTGCAAAATTAAATTGGTGTTCTTCCATAACACTTCCCTCCGAAGACAGGAGAAGGAAAATCTCCTATAGCAATAATGTCACACTTTGGCGTTTACTACTCAGTCGAACAATGACCTAATATTTTGGCGTTTGAATAATGTAAAAAGTTTACATCAGTGGCCACTATCTTTAATTTCATGTTGATATCATTTATGAGTTTATCTTATCGGTATAAAAACTTTCACATTAAACCTTTTGTTTTTGTTTTTACGACAGAAGGAGTTACTTTTTTGAAATTGTATTTTTCGTTTTTTTGTAATTTTAATCGTATCCGAAACACACGAAACATTTTTATTTAACCTCGCTAATCTCCTAGTGCTAGTCCAAGATGATCTTAAAGGGGGGTACCGATGCGTAAAATATGCCAATCTCGATTAAATTTAGCATCTTTCTTCTCTATGCGAGTTTTTCTCGATAACCCGAGGCTCATTTTACTACTGATATACCCATAATATAATATAAAATATACAGTCATAAGATAGCTCTGCTCTAATCAATTCCCTCATATAAAGCACGCACTTATCCCACAACGTCATAGATGAATACTTGTTAAATTATTCACGCTGGAATGTGTGCCACTCATTTTCACTATCTAATCATTACTTTTATTTACAGCGGTAAAAACGTATTAAACCAAAAGTCTGAACTTCAAAGAGCATTAGAAAAACATAAAGATAACGTCGCAAGAAAGGAATTAGATCATCACATAAGTTCACACGAATTAGAAAAGGCATTAGCAGACAGAATCAAGAGGCGGCAAGATGCCGTTGTGGTTGAGGTAAGTAGCCGTTTGTACAATTGGCCTGTTTTTTATTAATAAAACCTTTTTTTAGTGCGATGATGATAAAGGGCTCAGTAAAGAATTTCTAGAAGCGAGAGCAAAATTACGAACAAGAACTGAATCCAAATAGATGATAATGATTTATTTTTTTAAACATCTACGCAAAAATATTTTCGTATAACATTTTTGCATTCTCATATGATCATCTTCTCATTGTATTATTAATTATTTATAGTGTATAGGTAGGTATGTTGATTGTATTAAGTACTTTAAAAAGTTCGTATTAACAATAGTTATTCGTTTTACATTGTGATAGGATTCTTTCTTTTAGTTTTGACTTACATAATAAACATCATGTAATATTTACAAGCTGGTAATAGTGTAATACATTATTTTGTATATATTTAATTGTGTTATTACCTAATTGGTGCCTTTGTTTTGAAAAAGTTACAAAAATTGTACAAATGAAATTATCCTAACTACTTTCACACATCACTTACTGTGCTGGTTTATTGCTATTTATGTTATCAGACCATGATTACATAAATTCATATCCTGTATGTGGCCAAAGTGAGAAAAAGATTATGTTTGCATATATCATACACCGACCATTGAATTTATAACTATCAAATTCAATGCATTGACCTAAATAAGGACAGGTACCTATTATCATTGTTTATATACAAAGATTATGGGATTGAATGCATTTTTCCCCCCCTTTCGCGGCTGCTTTTGCTCCCGCGGAATGTATTTGATAGTTGCAACCATGCACAATTGAATTACTTTTATCTATGGCATCAATTTGAAAACTCTTCTCGCCTCGCTTTTCTTTTAAGGCAAATTTTGGTAGTCGATACTCATGTTCACACGCGCGATTTGGTAGTTTCTTGAGCGGGCGCAATCGAAGGTCAGTAACCCGCGCGTGTACTCTACTATGCCCCCGCACCCCAGGTTCTAAATCCAACGCCCTAACTTGTAATGACCACCGTCTGTGGAGGCTCTACAAAAAGGATTCCACATTCTTTATACCTATCATCTGATTCCCTAAAGGGAGGATGGGCAAGACATAACATGTTGCAACACATAATAAACCGATACAACGGAATACCTCGTAAGGATCTGCAGTATTACCATCACTTTTTTAACGACCATTTATTTTTCCTTTGCATGTCTTGGGCATTAAGATAATGCTCTTGGTCTTTTTCCAAAAGATCTTGCTGCATGAATAACGATTTTGACACGTGTTTCAAGTTCACACGAACGGAAAACGGACATACTTAAATAAGTATCTGTTTTGTGAGTACCCACCTATCCTTTTCCGATACTATTTAAGACTTCAAGATGTGGAAGAAATTATGACTGGCCATACTGTAGACTAGTGGGTTGATGGAAAACAATTCCCTTCATCGAGACCTTTCATTTTACAGTACCATAACACATGAAGGATTTTATTTATTTAGTTTTTTTTGCACATTTCAAGAGTGGAGGGTTGCGTTAGTTTAGAAAAAAATGACTTGCCGTACATTACATTTATATACTATTAGTAGTATTGAGTTTGAAGTTTCAAAAAAGGTTCAGAAGCGAAGACTGCAATGGTTTGCGCATGTAATGAGAAGGGAAGAGGGATATGATGGAAGAAGGTCTAGCGGAATGCAAAGAGAGGGTAGAAGGCTGCGAGGAAGACCCAAGGAGAAGCTGAAAGCACTGTGTCTTGGTGGACTTGAGAGAGAAGGGTTTGGATGAAGAGTATGTGTGGATATGAATGGGGGAGGAGAAGTCAGAAACAGTAACCCCTCATAGAAGGGAGAAAAGAAGATCTGTTGCGGTAGGTATTGTAGGTATACTTCAGAAAATGTGATAACTTGCATACTATAGGCAACCCATCACACACTCCGTCAATGATGTTCGACATCATACTGTTTCATGTTCCATATCCTCAGTTCCTGTGTTCTGTTATTAGTACCATCCACGTGACGTCAGATGTCACTAATTTGACAGGTTCAAATAATGGCGTACACTGTCGAGTTCTATTGATTGTTATGCATCCTCTAATAATAGTGTAATATGAGTTATAAGTGAAATTAAATGTAGTTACGATGTGGATTCCAACAAAAACAAAAAAATACGGCGTCGGTAGGTGTTACTCAATTGTTTTTGCTATTATTGTCACCTGTCAACGTCATGTATTCATTTGTTATTGGGTTAGGTTTTTTTTATGATTGATTTGTTTTGACTTGTAAATAGATCATTTTTCGCATTTGTATACAAAGACCTCCTTAACTGTCTCACTGAACAAAATTATATAAGTAGTTTTGTATCTGATTCCAAAGTACATTTGAATAAAATTAAACTTAAAGGACATGATTATTAATAGTTAATTGAACACCAATTTCAAATGTTTCGATAAGTTATAGGAAAATTCTTTTTTCGACTGTACTACTTGATGAACTCCACAGACGTTTTACTTCCTGTCGTCTTTCGTTAATATATCTACAAGTTTTAAATGTTATTTCCTCTTAAGAACCTGTCTGGAATATATAATTAGAAATATTTCACTTAGGGTTGTGCCTTCCTCGAATCCATGCAGCACTATTAAAGTTTTGTATGTTTTTTTCTAGCCGTATATAATTGGAGAGGTGATACTAAATTTGGACTGTCTTTGGAAATTGGCGAAACCGTGCAGATATTAGAAGAGTGCCAGGGTTGGTATAGAGGCTTTTCGACCAAAAATCGGGCAGTTAAGGGGATTTTCCCTCAAACTTACATTTATTTAAAAAACTGTAAAGTGGACAATGAAGGATTGTTCGAGAGCGTCGTACCTGTTGAGGATCCGGTCGTTCGGGAAGTTACACTGGTTTTACGAGAATGGGGAGATATATGGAAGAAGTTGTTTGTGGTGAGCGGGTTTTACATTTTTGCCTACAATTTCTTATCCTTGAACTTGTTTTCAAAACATACCTCCTACACTAATGCATTGTTAAATTAGGTAATTGAAGATATGAGTGGACGAAGGTCACATTTGTTAATGTTGAACTTTATAGAAAAAAAAAAACGTGCAGAGTATGTAGGTGAAATTTGGTAAGCTAATGCAGATTGCCATCTTGCATCAGTAAATGTCTATTTAAAACAATTTAAGGTCACTTTCATTCATACAGGCCTTTAATTGTTCTATAAACATTGGATTTACATTTTTAAAATAATGGATAAGATATGTAGTTTCTGTGATAGTAATGAAATTCTATTTATATTGCCTAGATTGAACGTCATTAGGATATACTTATTTACGAGATTAAATGACAAATCACATGTATTGAATCACTCTTAGATATTTATTGAGGAAGCAGTTCCTGTGCGCTTCAGAATCGTTCATATTCTAAGTAACTCCATACAAACCCAACAGAGGGCACAACCAGCAGTCTAGAAGGATTCTTCTAGGGCCCAAAACTATTCAAGTTGCTAATAATTACTCTCGTAATTACTTATAGGTATTAATAATCAGCTTATTTTTTTTTCTTTGATTTTTCACTTCATAATCACTTTATAACAGTAATATTTCTAGGAGACGCTGATTATAAGTTGGAACAATGGTTAATGAATTCTTTCATTAGTTAATTATTATCAGCCAGTAAATAATAATCTATGCTTTATGGCGCTTATGAACTGAAATAATTGTTCATCAAAGTATAGAAAGTTGCCTAATTTAATTTAAATTTTGATATAAGGCAGGCTTACTTTTGGCAGAAAAGAAGGAATCTTATATCTTTAGCAATTTATTAACAACAATATTGTCCAGACACCTAGTTTGCTTATAGCACAAGTACGTATTTTTATATCATTATTAATATATATGGCAGAATCTGTCCCAAGCAGTCTTCCTTTTATTTGATGTAGAATGCAATTTGTAAGGGAAAAATGACTATTTACTAATGAGGTTTGTGGTGTTATTCACGAGGTTATTCACAAATGCACATCATCCCGTCAATGTTCATATTTTAGCAGGGTTGTTAGGAAAAGTAGGTGGAAACTAAGGTCTAAGATATTTAATGTTAAATTATGTATGATGTTTTCTTCTTCTTAGGGGACAGATAAGGTATAAGAATTTGTTGGACTCATTTGGAAATATTTTTGAAGAGTTTTACGTGCACCTGTAGTACCTACAGTACGGGACAAAACGTTAATCACAACCCAGAACCCCATTTTCAAGAGGGAAATTGTCTGATACCCCGTTCTCGATATATTTGATTTGAAGTTTTGGTTTCACTAATAAAAACGTTTAGTCATCAATTGTCATTATCCTTTTGTGAGTATCCTCTTCCGATACGCCATCCTCAAGATACTTACTCAGATTTTAAGCTGACATACGCCACCGATTTGCAGGCATTGAAAAGGGCTACTGTTAAAATTGCAGCCAATTTGTTTCATAATTACATGCGCATGGATTTGGTTTTATGTCTATTGAAATTTCACAAGATCACCTCGCAAATAAAATAATTACCGCACAGTAGATCGTTTATGCACTGCTCGTACCTAATTAAATCAGCTCGCATTCATAAACTTGACTTTTAATCCGGCTCATATTCAATAGGACTGATGCTTGAACTCGTCGACACCGATTGGCGAAAGTTTGAGATTTTCTTTCGTTCTAAGTTAGTCGAGCAACAGACGGATGGACGAACAAAACCATCACAGAGGAGAAAGTTTGTTGTTTCCAAACTTGCCCTTAAAACTCTATTTTTGCTACGAGTTGCAGTTGCACCCACAGGTTGAGTGTTTATCTGCAAACAGTTTTATAGTTGTAGATAGACTAATAGTAGCTTTGTGAGGCGCGAATATTTCCCAGAGAATTTTGCAATATTTCCCAAAAAGTCTGAATCTTTGTTTTGAAGGTGCAGTATATGTTATGGTCGAGGTTATGGCATATGAATTGAGACTGAACAGTTCTCTTTTATGTATGTTAAGTAAATAACCAATTTGACACTCAGATGCGTTTTATTAAAAAAAAAACAGAACTTGTTTAAAAGATTGATTCGGTCTTTGGGTGTATTGTAATTAGTGTAGAACCTGTGTGGTGCAGTGATGTGGAAGGTCGATTGTGGTACTGTGTTCGGGCATGGATATATTTGTAAATGTGTAATGCGTTGGGTTGGTAGCGCAGCCTTGGCTGAAACCCCGCCTACTTACAAATAAAGACCAAAAATAAATAAATAAGTATAGTATATTTTGTAAACGATTCTCGAAAATTTCCGAATATTCTCGAAAGTTCCCGAATATTCGTAACGATAACTATATTACGGGAATTTTACAACACTATTTTATAGGTAAATTAAAATTTGCGGTTCCAACTTCAAAGTGCACCAAGTTTTCAAAAGTCGCGTAGTTCCCTACTAATTCAATTTGCGCCCGTAAGTAATGGTTCTGCCCTCGGTTCTGCCATTTTGTAGAAGTTTCAATTATTTATACTCAAATACATTCAGTACAAAAGATTGAGGTAGGTACCAAATAATCCATTTTTTAACCGCATATAGAAACTACTGTGAATAGGTTTTTGAAAGTTTGTGTACAAGGGTATTTTTTGAGCTCATTTTAGCTAAAATATTTTCAGTTTGAGATGTGCTTTCCATTTAACTGGAGGTTGATCTTCGTACGTCGTACCTACGTTGTTGTAAATGGAATCCCATAGTTTTTATTCAATGTATTTTGTTATTGGCAGTAAATTTTATGTATGATGTCACCATACATACCGAAATTTTTTTGAATTATTTCAGATTTTTTTTACTTTTCACCATTTTTTTAAGCCAAAACCTCGGCGAAAACCGTGCGTCGGACAAAGAAAAACGAGAAGATCAAATTTGCTCAAAAATGAATGAGGATTTAAAAACTAATTTTTATTTTAAGAGAAAGCAGTGGCGTAGTATTTTTTCTCCAAAAATATTCAATGCAAAAGCCTTACGGACGCCACTGGTAGAGAAAATAAAAATTTTGCACATCAGAAAATGCTCGAGAAAATTCACCTTGATGCATAAAAGACATGTACCAAATTTCATAAAGATGTCTACGATATTATCTGTTATTAAAAAAACTTTTTTTTTAACTTTACCATCCTTGTATCTCATATTACCAAACTACAGAGATGTGATCACCCCCACATGAAAAGCTATTGATTACACTATGGTGAGGAAATGCTATACCTACCTATTAAAAAGCTCTCTTTTATCTCTTTATGATGTAGGAAGCAAGTACTTTCTGCTTTACTAAAGACATGTCTTTTTATGTGTAATTCGCATTTGATCGATATCCCAGAAACACTGTCTTCAATCACACATAAACGCAGAGTTGAGATGATTTTGGAACAAACTGAGTTACCTACGTTTTTGGGATCTGTGGAAACCAAATTTTTAAGATACCTACCCAAAATGGCATACTTCTCTAAATAGATGCAGCCAACAAAATTTTATGTCTGGGGTTTATTTGACATTAAAGTAACGTATTCAAATTTTTTTTTAAACTACAACAAAAATGTAACTGGTTATTGATGGCTGGGTCATAAATAATTAGAATTTCACAACTGACAGTGTGCAATGTCCATGTGTTTAATAACACATAACAGAACAGAGTTTACATACTCTTTTAAACAAAAGGTTGTGTGTATCTTTAAGGGATGTCATACTTGCCCTTCTTTTAGTGTCTTTAGGAATAAACTGAAGTTTCGATACATTATTTTCATCATATTTCACGCTCTTTTTGGAGATGTTCCAGCAGGAAAGAGGAAACGATTTTATAAAAGCGAAAAGGGTGTACTCAAAAACCTGTCCATCAAGACATGATGGCCTGTTATTGGTTTTGGTTTAAAGAATAGTTGCACAATATATAATTGTTTACATACTATGTCAGGTGACCTTTGGCCCATCTTGACCAAATGGCTCTTTTGCCAATAAAGCGTATTTTTTTCTGAAGTTGCTTAGCTATTTTTGGTAGTAGCGTGCATAATTTGTTGATGTTTATTTTCTTGATTGAATCAAAGGCACACATTAAAAACTACAAGAAGAATTAAGTCCCCCAGCACTAATCAGCTTTGACGCTCCATTTTCGAGATATTCACACTTAAGTTTTCACATCGCTAGTACAAATGCCTCGTCCAGATGTTCGTTAATATGCTTCACTCGTGCCCTCTGGCACACCGTTTTGAAGATATTCACACTTAAAGTTTTGACATCACCAAGGGGTATGTTTTTTCCAGACTTTTCAATCGCCTTTGTGGGTATCGTCCGCTCTACAAATTACCTATACCTACGGTAAGGACTGGGGGTGGTAGAAATTAATTTCGTTGAGACCTTGAAACTAGTTCATTAGAGCATTCATTGGCGATCAGCATAAATCAAATGTTTTCTCAAGCATGACTGTAACTAAAAAAAGCGCCTCCAAGAAGATGAATTGAACTTTCGTTTGTTATATCCAAAAACTAACCACAATGGCGCACCTTTGAACGGAATTGCCACAAGATATCGTTTGAAATGTTGGTCACACAAAGTGTACTAGATCAGTATTTTGATTTATTCCCAATTTGGAACAGTGCCAACGGTGAAATGAGACATCTGGATGCTAATTTTCTGGAAATGTATTTTTAAGGTAAAGTAAAGTTTGGAAGAAAGGAACCTTTTGATATTTTGGCCATTGGAGTCTTTGGAAAGCCATAGATTCTGTAGATCACTCTTGTCCTTGGAAGTATGTTTGTAAATCCAACTGAAATTTATTGTATATTTATTCTACCTTCAGGTGGTTTGTAAGATCTCAGTTAGTAAAAATTGCGTTCAAAATAAAATAATAACGTAGTTTCCATGCCGCTAATGGCGTAGTTAACATCATTAAAACAAATGTGAATTTCATTATGTGTAATTGTTCATAAAATTCACGTGAACTTCGTTGTCATTAACATTGCTTACGTTTAACTTGAATGTTGTGTAATTTCATTGGAAATTTGGACACAAGCGATTAACTGTGTTAATAATCCTTCTTTTCTTATACCTTGATTTCTTTACGCAATGTCACTGATGCACATGAATAAACACAATCCTAATTATGCAGCATGTGAAAAACTTGCAGGGAAAAATCATTTTCATGATATTTTTTCCATACGTTTTGCTTTTGTTGCACATGCCCAGTAGAATGAATAGTCACAGTAATTTTCCTAATTCCCTGCCGTAGTTGTTGAAGATATAAGCAATCAAGTCTGTGATGATAGCCCTGTATAAATTATTAAAGGTAATTTTTGCAGATTTTTTAAGTTTACCAATATTTCTAATTTCAGGATAGGGAGGTGTACAAATTTGAGACCGTTGGTAAGGTGATGCGTGATCTGTTGGAATGGAGGAGGCAACTAGTTTCAGGTACATTGACTCAGGACCAAACACGCGAGTTAAAATTGAAGATCATCGGCAAGATCGACTGGGGCAATCGGTGAGTTCAAAAACCTTTACAAAAATGTTTTTTTATTTGAAAGACTCCGAACTTACATTGTTTCCTAAGTCAATTAAAAAAATACAGTCTTAATAATAATAAAATATAAGCATAATAATAAATACACTATGGATGAGTGTACTGAAATACCAATGCAGTTATAGAATTGAGCAAAGCACAATTGTTCACGTAAAAAATCACAATAAAGAGTAAATACTTGGAGAGATCTAAACTCTATGGCAATTAACGAAAACGGAACTAAATCTAAATAATTATTTTCGTTTGTAATCGACTACGTCTAATAAGTAGTATATTTCACATGTTGTCGGGGGTTTATGTTTCCGTTTCCTTTCCAAATTTTTCTATTTCTGGATAAATGGGACTCATTTCGAGCGTCGACGGGGCCGAAGGTAAATTACTATTACTACCAAAATTCATACGTCTAACTAATTCGTCCAAAATTTCACCGAATACTAAGAGATTCATATTTTGTCCTAACAAATGTATCACCAAGAAGTCCCCAACCTGAAAAACATTGAGGTTACGGTTGGAAGGTTAAGTAAACGCTGCGAGAGTACCTGAGTCCTTCTAATAATTGTGTCGACAGCCTCTTGACTGCCAAATCGAAAGCGTCTCTTTAAGATTGCTTCTCGAGTCCGGGGTAGGAGCACCACTGCGGCCGAGTAGATCAGCGCCACACCGCTAAGTACAGCTAAGATGATGAACCAGAACCAGAGGAAAATGTAGATCTTCTCGTTGAGAATGTTTAAGGCTAACACGCATAAGGCGTCGTGTTTTTGTATTGATCCCGATGGGCCGTATTTGTGGAATGTGCACTTTGTAACACGAGGGAAGACGGCGACCATGGGATCGGTCCGGTTTTCTTGGTTTTGATTTGAGAATGCTACCACCTGTGTGCCGTATTCCAAGAAGGTACCCCCTAGGAACTTGTCTGTTGCGAAGATGTTGACGAGCTGCAATTTCCAATTTGTAATCCCAGTTTCATTTTTCGCAATACTTACCACGTTCACAAAGTTGAGAGCCTCGCAGAAGAAGTATCCGAACGCGTAGGAGTTGTGCATGTGTATAGTTTCCACTAGGTACTGGACTAGGCGAGATTGGCGCCCTACTCGTTCTTCTCTGCCGCCCACCATTGCACCACGCATTCCCTCGGAAATCATTCTAACTTTGCCTTCTTCCCAGTTCTTCCACACCCAGTGTGGCAAATAGAAGAGAACACCCTACAACAATAAAATTTCTTTTTTTATTGGATTTTATTAGAATCTTCACATAAATGAAATTGGTACAAAATCTGGCGATGAATACAATAAATGAGAGCATCACTCACCTGGAAGAATAGGACGAATGGCACCCACTGGTAGTAGCTGTGGTAACGCTTCTCCTGATTCTCGTTACCCAATCCGGGGTGAGCCACATGGTAACCCACCCGTCCCTGTTCGTGCGGCAGTGTGAAGGTATGCGTAATCCAACAGTATGTGTTAATGACGTGTGTTGCTACCCCTCCATCGTTTATGCATTGTATTGGATCACCTGTACTCCGCATACTATTAGACCGAGTTAATCAACTTAGTGACACTTACCGATTAAATTATTTGCGGTTATTATAATACAGGAAACGAATAGCAGCGCCGAAGTGATTCTGTAGTGTGCACGAAAGACCATGTTGTCGATAATTGCTCTATCAACAAGGTAGCGGACTTTCACAAAGCCCGCTACGGCAGAGACCATTCCCAGTATACTCATTTTGTTATCTGAAACGGTAGTTGTAAGTCAGTCATCTTATATGTTCATGGCTTGTGTTATCAGCCAAATTTTTCATGTGGTGGAAACACATTGAATCTTTTTGTTATAGCTACTGAACAATGTTGCATTACTAACTTTAATAAATAAGTTCAAGTGTAATTTATTGCGTGGGTTGTGTCTAATAAAGTAATTGTCATTTTCTATTGAATGAATACCTATTACGCAACAAAGGCTTTAATATTTGTTTGTAGCCTCAAAATTGTTTATACTTATTTGCATAATGTAAACCTTCTGCGTAACTGTTAATAATTGGATTACTTGTGTAGGTTCTTTATCAGAAAATGAGTCAAAGGCCTTGGTATTTGGGAAGGGTTTTACTACAGCATTGTAGATAACGTGCTTTATAATATTTTTTATATAAATATTTAGAGTTAATTAAATTGAGTAAACACAGTCCCCCTGTATTATATAATGGGATGCAATAATTGCATATAGCTTTTCAAGGGCAATTAGTCGAAAGGTCTCTGTCAAAGAACTGTTGGGATATGCATTGAACTATATTTTGGAAACAGGAAACCGCGAACACGCAGGTAGGTATTCATGTGATACATCAATTCATATTATTACAACTGTTTGCGATAAAGGAGGGAATTTGTTGCTTCTTCGAACGATTGTTCATAATTAATTCCTGTAATTTACATGATTTTGAGGCGGTAAAAAGCGTGGATAGTGATACCTTTGTTAATACATTTCCACAACTTGCGCGGGCAAAAATTATCAATTTGGCGATGATAACCCGCATCTTTTGCATGCCATTGATAAGACGCAAAAAATCGTTACACAAAAAACTATAAAATTTATTACTTCAAACATCTGTGAACTAAATAGGCTCGCTGACAAGACCTCTTTTGGAAATGAATAGTTACAACATTTTGTGTAAAGCAAAAGAACACCTTACCTTATGTTAACGACGTTAATCCGAAACGAATGTTTTGAAATAAAACAAAAAAAAACGTCACCCACTAATAAAATATCACAAATTGAATTAAACAATTATAAATAATCCGAATTTTTACTTCTTTCATAACATTTTGTACGGTGCAGCTTGTAAAACCAGCTTTGTATGACTGCCACATACCTTAGTCATTTGAATTATTTAAGTGGGGAAATTCCGTCTCTTTCGTTTAACAATACGGGCGTATTTCACCGTCCTCCTTGATGGTCACCATTTTGAAATTATAACTTGTTCTTTTAGAAGAATAGAAGCTGGATGGTGTTCTCAAAAGGGACTCCTTGTCTTTTCGGAAATATTTAAAGTCCGTGACGTTAATCCCTCAACTTGAAAAATTATATTTTGGAGGGTTGTGTTTTTTTTCTATTCGAATTCGAAGCGCACAAGGGCAAACTACCTGAGTAATGCGGTTACCTACTTTAAAATAGTCCCTCAATTTGTTCCCATGAGAATGTTTTCGTAAATTGTAATTGAACTCAACAACTCTATGTAGGACGTATGCGCAAAGTAATGGTTTTGTACCCTTTTACACTTAAGCGTGACGGTTGTGCAGTAATTAGTAATTACTATTGAATTATAATAAATTTATTACGTATAGCTTTCTAATTAAGGTACATTTTTGAACTTCCATACAAGCAAAAGGAAGTTTTACAGGACGTCAGTGCAAGGAAGTAGGTAGGATGCTCCAATGAGATTTCGTAGCTATGTGGAAACTGAAATCATTTTATCTTTTGTGAAGAACGTAACTTTTATCAGACGGATCTTTTTTGCGCAATTTAATCAGAAAAAGTTGATTATTGTGGGCGATTTTTACGTTCGATCACTTCAGATCTTATGCCTTCATTTGATTAAAACAATGAAATTATTGCGAATGGCTGTGTTCGAAATCCGTTCAGTTTTTTTTAAAAGAAAACGAATCAAAATCGAAAAGACTTTTAGGAAAATTTAGTATTTATTATTTTACTGAGAGTTCCAAGTCAAATTCCGGCTTTACCTCGGAATTCCGATTTTAAACTGTGAATTCCATGAAGCGTAAAACCAGTTCCACTCTCCCCTCCCAACTTCCTCTTTTGATGTTTTGATAAGGACTCAGAAACAAGGAATCGTAGAAACCAGTTCCTTTCGTTGAGACCTTTAATTAGAATACCATGAAAGTTAAAATTAATTTCTGCATTCAAAATTCTTACGAGAGGGCGCACCCCAAATGGGGGTTGCGAAAAAAATTCTGATTTCGACGAAATTCGGTATCTGGGGGATTTTGAACATGAACATCTCGAATCTGAAATTAGTTTTTGAACATTTCAAGAAAAAATTCTACTGCAATTCTTCGCCGGACAACGAAAATGGAGAGAATTCCACGAAATTTGTTGTGCACGTACTTGATGAGTTAAGGAACAAAATTATCGAAGAGTTTTCTAACAAAAGTTATACTCATTTGAAGATTGGTCTTTCGGTATATAAAGTGTACCCCGCCTACTAGTGAGTCATCTAGTTTTGCAAATAACAAAAATTTGTTGTGGCTAGCACAGATGCTGTCCGCACATCTACGCATGCGCGATTCTGACCTTTTATGCCCATGAATATGTGTACCAAATTTGGTTGCAATCGTTTCAGCCGTTTATCTGGAAATGAGAGTTTGGCACACATTCGCGTGGGTCATTCTGACCAAAAGCTTTTCAGATTTTCCTTTTTAATGATATGTGTACCTACATTAGTTCCAATCGGTTTAGCCGGAAATGACAGTACAAGAAGGACCGACAGACCGACATCGTCGAGATTTTGTTTGATTCGGATTTCTGGTGCTGGGGGGTCGTTTTTTACCCCAATGCAATACCTCCCTTACTAACGCGCGGGTGGTAAAAAATTATCAAAGTCCTCGTGTGAGATCGAAGGGACTTCAGCGCATTTTTGTGTGGCAGATCAGTATTATATTAGCCACTTTTGACTCAACCATGAATAAAAGATCTTGTCGAAGGATACCACATTCCCTTTGACGGTACCCACTTCCGACGTCCCGTTCACCCGCAATTCGCGTTTGAAGATGTTTGTCCACCATCAGTTATATCTTGTCGGAGGCTACCACATTTCCTTTTTCGGTGCATACTTATATTACACCCACATTTTGGGGGATCTCGCTAAAAACCTTCCACAAGATAGTACTTAATTTTTGGGGGGCACTTCTCATTGCTTGAGCTTCTATTGGCGACACGAAAAAGAGAGACAGCCATTCGATATTTACGAAACGTTAAAACGCGTGACAGAATTCGCAACGGAAGGTAAAAGGTGCCCGAAGTTGACTACCTCTCGAAGACGCGCGCGCGCGCCTTGCAAAAGGTCGTTAATTTCGCCCTTAGGCCAAAAAAACAAAATTCCGCCACGCAGGAGTTGTGCGCGTTCACAACATCTTTCCGACGACACCAATTTGAAAAGAATCGGACCAAAACTGTAGTAGAAGATAGGAAAAAACTGAAAAACCTTCACGTTAGTATACTACGCTCGAGGATGACGCCCAGATGTCGCCAACCCCACATCATGTAGCCCTGTCCCTAAGGTTGACAAATTACACGGCCTTGTAGATACAACTTTCTACAAGAGTTCTTCTACGCGCCCACATTTGCTGCCAGCCAGCCAGCCAGCCAAAGTGAGATTAAAAGCTACTTTTTACAAATAAATTTGCAAAAATGCGCTAAAAACAACGATTTAACTCGTTGTCGAGGGGATTCACACTGAGCCGTAAGCGGAGTTAAGTCAACCACCTGTACATTACCGTAGGGTGTACTTTAGTTTGTGAAAAGAGAATTCTCCCTTAGAATTGAGACAGGGTTAAGTCCTGTATTTTGTGTTAAGACAATTCGTTATGATACACGACCGGACTTAGGTCAAACACCTGTCAATTAGAACACGGTGGTTTTTGATTCTGCTATCACACCCTAATAATTGAGACCGCGTATTGCTTTGCAAAAATCTCGTGTTAATACGATACCGAAGTTATAGGTTACATTAGTTACAAGGGATAATTTCCCAATTAGAAACTATTGCGGTAAATACGAACAATAGCGGAAGTTTTCGCGCGAAATTAAATTCTGTAATGTTACGAAGAAAGATGTGTCGATCTCTGTTAGTAAACTTGGACTAAGTTTATTCTTCAAACTTCTTCAAAAAAATGAACACTTGTTCATAAATAGCATAATTATTTTAATACTTGCCCAAGTAAAAAAAAATGATAAATGTAAATATTACGGGTTCAAATATTACAATTTAAAGCTCCGATGAAGCACAAATTGACGGTCCGGAATATAGCCTTTAAAAAAGTAAATATCACATGCAGTTTTTATCTTAACCTTTGAAGAACAACATCTACATTTGCCATCGGCTTGCCGAATTTTGAAACTTGGACTGCCAATCAATTCATTGTACGAGACAAGAATAATTATCGATTTTTTTGTGTTTAAAGATTTAATAAATAGGCACTTTCAGAGCGGCCGGACTGGACAGTTGTAATAAAATTAGTAGTGCATTCTTTAAATCATGAGTTTAGTGCTTAGGCCCATCTAGTAACCATCTGAAAATTATTATTGTCTTATTTTAAACAAATTTGTAGTGCCATTAGCTTTGTTAAGTAACATTGTGGAATTTGCTTTGGACAGAAAGTAACAGAAATGCTTTCAAGTTCCTATTATTAGCAAAAGAGAGGTACTCTTTTTTCAAAATGAATAAGTTTCGATTTCTGAAGACTGTTCTAAATCATGGACGGTTATTTCAAATAAAACCTGTCAAAATCTTAAGCTGTTTGCTTGACTTAAAATTCAAAGAATACAAATACAATTGGATGGGTCATTACCTACTTCTTCTTAGAAAAATATTATAAATACTGTCACTCGCAAAATCTGCATGGAATGGAGGTAGGTACCTATAAGTCTTCCCTATTAAGGTACCAACAGGTAGTTGTTTACTTAACGGTAACTATATAATTAGGGTTTGCATTTACAACGTTTTCTAAAATGTTCTCATCGGTATAAAAGTGAGTGTAATTTTATTGCTAAAACTTTGAGACACTAAAACAGATGTCGCGTCGTTTTATTAAGCAATATAAATGGTGCACAATTCGTGTGCACATATAGGACATTTTTAACACCAAAATCCTGTACCAAATTATTGGATATTATTGGAAGCAAACGTAGACCAGGTTTGAAAAAAAACAGCTGCTTGATAGGCGGGGGTCGAGAGAGTGGTAGTTGGCGAAATGAATCCTTTTCATTGAGACATTTCACAATACCATGAAGGATAATGTCAGTTTTTAACCCCTCGTCGCCCTCTATCATACAGATATGGGATATGGGACGAGGGCAGTAGTTGGCAGAAATGCTTTTCATGAGCATACCGCGACGACTCCCCTTTTTTAGTTCGTCGTTCTAAATCCAAGGGTTAAATTTTTTCTAAGGACATCCAGCCATAAAAAAATTAATAGACAGAGTTACAATCGAAAACGGAGAAGTAAATTAACACTTGTGCTAATAAAAAATTGGGTGAAACAAAAGGCCAAAGCAGGCAATTTTTCTAAATAAACCGAACCCTTAAATGTCCCAAAATGGTAGTTGTGAGATCAAATTTCCTGGAATTGTTTTTTTGAGAAGGTCGTCTATCAGGCTCTGATTTTTTTTATTGGAATTCTCATATTTATTATTATTAAATTCTAGTAAAAAAAAACCTCTGAATTATCAAATAAAATTACACTAAAAAAGAAAATAGGTAGGAACTTCTGAGAATTAGTCCCAAAATTCTGATAATACATTCGAAAATTTCTAAATTTGCAGAAACGTGCTTAAGGGCGTTTATAAAAATTGATAAACATTTCTACAAATTTTTAATTTTAAAAGCATAGCAAAGTTAGATTTTTAGAGAAGATTGCCAAAAAAATTTCTTAGAAAGGTTTGTTATCAAATGCCTAAGATGGGTTCCAAGAAGGTTCATAGGAAAATTGTTAAATGGACTTCTGTAAGATTTTTGATTTTTCTGAGAATATTTTTTAAAAGATTTTGGATTTATAGAATGTTTCTAAATTAACACTATTTTATCAAAGGAGGAGATATTTAGGAGGGTTTCAAGAAACCTTTATGGAAATGACTCCAGGAAGGCCTGGAAGATGAGTCCTAAAAGGATATCTATGAAAGAAGCATATTTGTAAGAAGCCTTCTAGGAATATTTCTGAAAAATCTTTTATACGATATTTCTAAGATGATCCCTGAAATGTTTTTCAGTAACCAAGAAGACATGAATTAGTAATATTTTTTAGAAACATTTTTCTAGGAAGATATAAATCTTAAAAACATTACTAAGAGTGTTTCCAAAATAATTCAGCAGATTTCAAGGTTTTAAAACTAGAAGATCCAGAAAATTCCGGAAAATTCCGAGGAAGAATCTTTCACTATGAAAAGAACTCCTAATAAATGTTTTTTTTTCCAAAAGTGTTCTTTTTAAATGGAAATGTGAAAATAAACCGATTTCATAATGTTCGAAACATTCGATACCTTCCGACCCTCACCACCACCCCTCTCCCAATAACTCAAAATATTCAGTACAATCCGAATACATAGGTCATCCAGGGTTTTAAGAATATTCTGAATACTACGAATCTTCAAAGCTTTACTACCAAAACATGCCACAAGCTTCAGCACCGTCACTTCACAATGTTAGAATTTTTGAAATTTTTAAAATATTCGGGAAGCTTCATCATCGCCAAGATTTTCCAAGAATTTTACCTTTATTTATGATATAAAAAGTCTATTTTAAGCTGGCAGTTTTCTTCTGTCAGATCTACTACTTATTTTGTAATCTAAACTTAAAATGAATGTATGCACGAGACGGATCTTGTATTGTGGATGGAGTCAAAATTGGATATCGATAAAATTTACTAGTTGAGTTGAGGAGTTCATCCATAAAAAAGAGTTTTCAAAAATTTCCAAAAATGTCATACCTAAGTGATTGTGGGCGAGTAATTGCTGAGGAAATTTGTTTGTTTCTAAAAGTTTGGATTCGTTATTTTTATGTTCAAAATTCCCGAAACCTAATTTCTCTGAAATTTTTTTTATGTTATTTTTTTATAGCCTCTTTTAGAAGTGTATCATCTTGTACACTCAGCATCGGCAAATTTTTCCAAAATTGGAAAAACCAATCATGTAAATAGAAAGCCGTTGACTCCATTATGGAAGAAACCCAATTTTTGGACATTAGTTTTTTTTATTTCCTCTGTCATTCAATTTTGTTCACACCGTGTATATGATTTGATTGCATTTATATTTTTTAATTTGTCTGCATGTCTCAAAGTTAAGCAATTTTTTTATTTTGAAAGGAAGACGTTACTAGAAACAAATACAGGCGGACGGGTGGATCATGGGGAGACATTTTTAAAATTCCTTTGGTTTGCGTTGGAAGTCATTGGATTATTACCTATGAAACATACTTTCTAAAATGTGTGTAATGTTACTATTGCAGTCTAGATTGCAGTCTCATTCGATGGAACGTAAATGAATTCGAATCTAACAATAAAAGCAATCGACGAAAAAATTCAACATTTGTAAACTATTGGAATGAGGCTAATGGCTAAAACTAAATGAACAACTTTTGTTTTCAAATTGTTATTGCACAACACGGAACTTCGATGTAAATAATGAAATTTGCTCCCGGTATTTCCTCACGAATTGATGCCCTCTGGAAATAATTTACAAGCGCGCCGAGTGAAAGAAGCGTTTTGGGCATTCTTGATATCCTCATTGCACTCGATTTTGAGCTTAACTTGCCTCTAAAAGAACAACCGGTCTGCAACCTGTACAGTCATCGCATCAATATTGTATTGTTGTTTATCTACTACCTGTTCTTCGGTACACTCTCTTTAGGCAGTCTCCATGACTGACATTTTCTTTGTCGTTCGAGTAATTGATTTTAAAACTCCTCTTTCTTTAAAATGCTAACTGACCTGACCCTTCCTCCGGGTGCCAACGAGAGGATTGCGTAATTATCGACAAGCTATAATTACGAAAACGTATACGCAAAGAGTAACAACTTCAACTCAAACCATTCAATTAATTACAAATTAAGCTCTCGCAATTGGCTTTAGGCTGCGAGCTACGTGCGTACTCAGGTAGCCGCAGTGCGTACAGCGGTAGCACTTCTTGGTACCTTGCGTGGCGCGGGCGACGTCATAACGGGGTCTTCGAACGTTGGGGATATACCCGTCTAACTGTAATGGCAAGAGGGTATTATTGAGAATGAAAACGTCGGAAATTCCTTAGTTCTTATTCATTCGAGGTGGTTTTCCCTCTCCCCTCTCGGTGAAATCTATTACAAAAGTGCCACCTGTAATTTAACCTTACGTTCGTTGGATACCAACAGAAGCTGCTTCATCAAGCTTTTGCAAATGTAAGAACGTTGAACTCGTCGTCTACAAGGTTATACGTCCACTGCATGTTGAAATGCATAACGTTTTATATGTTAAAAAATTCTTCGTCGATTATTCAGTCGGCTTTCTTGAAATTCTGATTTGGACGATCCTATGAGACGACTTTTAGTTCTTTATTAAAAATAGGTTACCATGTACTTGATATTTGTCGGCCCACATAAAAGTCAATTAGAAAGATCATCTTGTCTGATGACTGGTGATGATAAACTGGATAGCCGTTGGTAGTCTTTATTGACACAAATATTGTATGCTTTCGCGACAATAATTTTTATTTTATTTTTTATTATCCCTCTTTTGAGGAACGAGTTTTTACACCAACACCCTTTGGACATAGAGGAAAAATGTCTTTGATCGTTTCCCTCAAGAAGAAAGAAAACGGATGATTTATTTAATCTACAGATCACCATATTCAAAATTTTTTATGAGTAGCTTTACAAAAAAGTACCTAACATATTTTTAGCGCATTTTTTAAGAATAAAAAAAAATGTGCTATTGTTTGCGTTTTGTCCGTCCGTCCGTCCGTCCGGACCCACTTCTACCGGTTTGAACTACTTCTAGGGGAATGGTTCTAGAGACCTGGAATTTTTTGTAGTAGGTAGCCTATACCTTGAAGGTGTGCCAGACGGTCATCAAATTTCGCTTTCTAAAAGGGGCCCCCCGCGAATTATTTCCTGAGATGCAATAATTGGTTTCAAAGTATAACTTTCCTGTGCGACTTTTTTTCGAGATCAAAGCGATGGGGCTTGAGGGGGGGGGTGGGGTTAAAAAGAATTTTATATCTTATTGTATTCTAATTAAAGGTCTTAACGAAAGGAACCGTTTTCTACCAACTACTGCCCTTCTTTCTGTCTTTTTATCAAAGTACGGGATTGAGGAGGAGGGGGTGGAACTAATTTATACTTGTTTAAATTGCAAATCTTCTATCACACTGATACTATTATGCATTTGTGACATTTTTTCGCAATACATTTTTTCTGGGATTTTGTTTTCATAAATTTGCGAGTTTATTCACCTCAGATATGAACACAATGTATTTGAACGAAAACAATGTGCAATTAATCTCTCGACACGTATGAGTAACGTAATAATTTATTACAGTGCGACAATAACGAACGTACAACCTCCATATTTGGTTAACGAGTTACATTGTTCTTATATGTTTCAAGGCAATCAATCGCTAATCTAATAAAAATAATGTTCAGTTGTACTATACAGGGTGTAACAATTTCAAGTATGTCAAATGAAATTGGGTGGTAAAGGCGACCAACACAAGAATTTTCAAATAAATTCATTCAAAATCGTTTATCATAATTGACTGTGTACTTACACATTACTTGCTAATTTTGTTTAGCATTTTGTTACCAAAATCACACTATTATTAAGAAATACAGTTAATATCTCCGCAAATCCGTACTCTAATAATCTGAGGTTTTAGATCTGAGTTCTTAGTTATTTATATAATAGATGTTAAAACGAAAGATCTACGAAAAGAAAGAATTGTGCCACAATACCGACTTTCTTATTTGCCAGGCATATCAAGAAGTGACATATTTCTTTCAAAAATTAAACTAACGTCCGCGTTAAAAATTGGGTTTATGCATGAGGTACGCTTTAGAAAATCGCGCGAGGGCGACGGTTTTATAATTAAAAAATTCTCTATATGTCAGCTTGTTTTGAACTTGTTCTTCTCTTTTCAGAAAACTAGGATTAGACTTGGTTCCCAGACAAGGAGCCGAAATGGTCGACCCCGATTCGATGTCGGTAGTTGAGCTATATCAAGTGCACGTTTTAAGTGCAGAAAATTCACAAGGTGCATCTGTATGTATCCATACTCTCTTAGTACACCAAATTTACAATTGCATTTCAGTCCAGAGGCACGTTAAAAAAGAAAGAATCAAAGAAAATATTAACACACCACTTGTACCTGTGCATGAGAGACTTTGGTCATCACATCGGAGAAGATACGGAAATCTTTTTTTCATTATACGATGCCAAAAAACAAAAGTATATTTCGGAACGGTTCCTAGTCAAAATTTCCAAAGAAGGATTTTCTAACTACATAGAAAAACTCCATATTAATTGCACTGTTTTTACTGTAAGTGTACAGTCGAACACAGTGTCTGTCCATTTACGAGTAATTTTAGGATTTAGGAAACACAGATCTTACAAAGGATACATATATTATAGCGCATGTGATGAGAATAGGCAAAATGCTGTATTCGGAAAGTTCGAAAAAGACTGACAAAAATGCTCCGGCATTAACCCAAGTATTTAAGAGGCCACACGGGGTAGCTGTGCAAAATTTAAGTGATATGGTCTCTCATAAAGATGGAGACTCGGAGGAGAAGGAGTTCACGTTAAAGGTTTGTACGAAGATTCTTGGACTGATTTTCGTAAGCTAAGATTGTAGGTATATCAAGGGGAAGAAAAAGATTTTCATCAGTTACACGAGTTGATTATACGACAAACGGGAAAATATAGTGCTTTATCTTGTCAACCAAATTATGGTATCATTCTCTCGTTAAAACTTTTACATGGCGAATTAAAACAAATAAAGGAAGAGAATCCGCTGTTGTTTAAAAATATGAGCTTGACAAATAAACTTGGGTTTCCCGATGTAATAATGCCCGGCGATGTGCGAAACGATCTATATATTTTGTTGGAGAAGGGCGAGTTTGAGCGAGGTGGTAAATCGACCGGTAAAAATATTGAGGTTACAATTTTGGTGTTGGATAGCGAAAAAAATATTGTTAAGGTATGTATTGATTTTATCACGTGAGTTTTTGGTGTTAAATTCCGTTTGCGTAGAATTGTTTATGGGGTGCTTCTGGTTTGGAGGGCACCACAGAATACAACTCGATGATCATATACCATCACAATTCCCCTTCTTGGGCAGAAAATGTTCGGCTCACACTTCCTATTGATAAATTTGCAGGTGCTCATATACGACTTGAGTATAGGCATTGTTCAAGTAAGTATTTCAATTTGAATTGAACTTTCAGTATTACCCCAATTGTACACTCAATAATTGAGTTGATCACAGAAAAACATAAAATGGGAAAAAAAAACTTAGTACTTTTTTTTTGTAAAATGAATTTGATGTTAATAATTTACCCGCTCCCTTCCGTTACGTCTAAGCCACATTGCTACGCAAATTTAGATGCAAAGCTACTTAAAGGCACCCAATCATTGTATGTTGGTCGCCATGTAAGTCAGGATGAAACTATTTTAGTGTCATGGTTCAAATTCGTCGAACGAACGTAATACTCTAAAATAGTGATTTTCTTAACATTTTTCTGAATAAATGTTATTCAATTCTTTTTTCGAAAAAAATTTAGTATCCCGGAATTGCTTGTATATAATTGGCTAGTCAACACAGATATAGAAATCAAAAGAAGCAAAGAAGCGGAAAAGAGGCAGAGAAGTAAACTTTCTCTGCCTCTTTTCAGCTTCTCTGCTCCTAGCAACAAAACAATACTACGCTGTTTGAATATCATCAGCGAAATGTCGCATTTGGCGTACGTAAAAAAAACACTTGAGCAGTGTGGAACTTAACTAACTTCTGGAATCCGTGACCGTTACGGGTGCACACTATTTTTTTGACTCAATGCGGGCGACCAAGGAGGCGCCGGGGGGGGGGGGCGCCTCGATGTTAATCGAAATTTCTGGAATATTCGTAACATGTGGTTCAAGTATCAATTGTCATTCTCTTTGAGTGGTCACCTGGAAGTGTTACATATTACGTTTCCAATGTCGGTGCTGAGAAATTCTAGAAGCAAGGATTTTATTATTTACAACTGCACAAATTCTTGTCTTCATAATGGTTTGACATTAACACACAATAAGAAAAATAAATAGTTTGGAAATATCTGATAAATGAGAAGGGCCTCTTTGAGTCTTTAGACTAGACTAGAAATTGAACCTGACGCATGTTGAGCGTTTTTGGTTTATTTGTGGGTAGAAGAATAACATCAAATACCTAAAATTGAGCATGTTAGAAAGCTGAAAGATTATCAAATGGTACGTCATTTATGAATGAAACATTTTTAGCACGTGAAAAAAATGACAAGAAATTATTCGGTTTCTCCTTCATACGATTAATGGACAAGGAAGGTGCGGCCGTACTCGACGGGCAACACGAGTTGTACATTTACAAATGTGAAGATGCAGACAAACTGCTTAATTGTGGGTACTTATCCTTTCCGTACTGGAGTAAGGATTGTGAGGGCAACCACGACGCCATTGGAACCTTCTCACGTAGTCACAAGGAAGTTGTGGTAGTTAAAACATTGCTATGTTCGACGAAATTAACGCAGAACGGTAAGACGGGGTGATACTTGAACTTTGGTTTGATCTTTCTTTGCAGTCGACTTATTATCATTATTACGCTGGAAATCGCACCCTGAGAGAATTCAAGAGTCGTTACAAAGAGTATTACGTTTAGGTGACGAGGAGCTTGTCAAATTTTTACAAGACGTTTTAGATGCGCTCTTCGCATTATTTTCGACTGAAGACGGAAATTCCACGCAACACAGTGGCTTAGTTTTTCACGTTTTGGTTTCGATTTTCAGTTTGTTGGACGAGTCCAAGTTTCAACATTTTAAACCGGTACTTGATGCTTACATTAAGGAGCATTTTGCTGCGGCGTTAGTGTACAAGTGAGTAACCCTAGCGGTCACTTAGAGAGTTACTAAATGAATTACTCAGAGGACTACTGACAAGCGTTCAACATTGTGCGGATTGGGTTTTGTCAACCGACAAGCAAGAGCCGATCCAAAAATGTTTTAAAAGTTTGGAATACATTTTCAAGTTAATTATTCAAAGCAGAATGCTGTTTTCGCGGGCAACGGGTGGCCAGTATGAAGACAGTTTTCGGCGCGATTTGCAAAGTGTGTTCTCAGCATTGAACAACATGATGGGTATTGCTACATCGGTTATTATACCGACACAGGTATGTTTATTACACTAGTGCATTTCTTTGGAACAAGGATTTTAGGTTGCATTGCTGTTGTCAATTAGCGCCGTCTATGAGCTTCTGATAGATGTATTGCCTATAATGGAGGTAACAAAATGGGCTGTGTTGTTACTAGATTCCTTGCCACGAGAACTACCGGCGCAATTGGTTCAAGCGAAATTAATGGCAATTAAGAACTTGGTTACCAGTAAAATTTTCCAGGAGGATGGTATGTCCCAGTTGTTTTACCACCTACTTATCATTCAGTTTTGTAGACTCGAGAAATATGTTGTTGGCGAATGCCTGCAAACATTTACGCTATCACTTGGTTCACAGGGATGAGTTACGCTTGTGCACCGAAATACTAGGCGAAATTTTAGGCTTCTTATGCAAACAAAAAAAGCACTGTGAAGAACAGGGCAAGATCAATAATTGTATTCACCACGATGTGGACACGCTTTGTATTAACACATTTGACGTTTTAATTCAAACAGTATTAGCGATAATTGATAAGAATATAACTGTGATTGTAAGTTTCCACTGGTAGATACCAGGTGTGCTGTTAACGTATGCTTCCAGGGCCAATTGGTCGCGTGCTTAATCGGATGCCTGCAATTATTCGACGAATTTCACTACAAACGTTTGTGGGAAACTCTAATGGGCTCAAGTCACGACCGTAAACCTCTAAAAGATTTTTTAATGCGCGCATTTCTTGTCTTTCGCCAGTTAGTTAAGCAAGAAGTTTATCCACCCGATTGGCTCGTTATTAAGATGGTAGCCAACAACGTAATGTTAAAAGCGCTTCAGGAACTCGCACAACCTCTCGCGTTCAAATTCTTAGATACTCGAACTGGCTATTTCGACAAAGAGGTATAAACTTGTCTCTGAGCTTAATTGATTGGTTGTTTTCAGTTGTGGACCAGCTATTTTAATCTTGCAGTTGACTATTTAACGCAACAGTCCTTGCAGTTGGAGCAATTCTCTGAGGTTAAGAGAGAGAAAATCATTGAAAAGTACGGAGACATGCGCGTACTTATGGGATTCCAAATACTTTCGATGTGGTCTCAGCTCGGTTCGTCAAAGTGTCTCTGAATCACTAACTTATACTGGGATTTTAGGTGAACATAAGCTACACTTTATACCGTCAATGGTGGGACCATTTTTAGAGGTTACTTTAGTACCCGAAATTGAGTTGCGGAAGGCAACTTTACATATCTTCTTTGATATGATGGAGTGTGAGCAGAAGGTTCGTGGGAATTTTAGACAGGTGGAGAGTGAGCTGATCGATAAATTGGATATTTTAATTTCGGAAAATAAAGGGGACGATGAATATAGGAGGCTATTTAATACAATGTAAGTTATTATTATTATTACTATTTTCTTTTTTTACTAACATTAACCTGCTCTACTTTATGCTATCAGGGAACATTTAAGTGCAGTGTAAGTGTATTTGTGGTTAATTTTTTTAAAAATTGATACGCCTGTTATACAGTATAACCTTGCGAATCAAAATTCCATTCCTGGGAGCAGATTACTGGGTGTATTCTCCTTCCGTTCTCTAGGCACATTTTGTGCAGATATTCTTCTACAATCGTTTCCACCTTTGCGTCACCTGTTTGTAAACCATTCTTTATTCTCCATCACATTTCAATACATGAGCGAGAAAGAGATCTAACAATTTGAAATACCCACAAAAGGCGTTTGACCTTTGGATAGTCAAACGAATGTGTCAGCTTAAACTTATTATTTAAGTTTGCATAATTTGCCTCTTGGGCCTTTGGTGCCACTGCCCACTAGTATATTGCTCACTATTAAGATTTTTTATTGATATTATTGACAAGGTAATTTCCAATTTGGGCACAAATAGGAAGAAGTCTTGGGGATCACCATCAAATTTCACAATTAGGCCTCCTCGCCTTTTCAAGATCTTTGAGCGTTTGAGGCTCACCTAATTCTGGAGAGGATTAGAGATCGTCAGAAAGCTCGGGAAAGAAATAGAAGGCGCTCCAAAGAAGGTTTTTGGTCCTTTCCAGTGTTCTTTTGAGAAAAAAGGCCGTTACTTTGAGCTTTTAATTCTCTTATTTTACATCACTTCCACTTTTTCACATCTCAACTAAAAAGATACAAACTACAAACCGTCCATATATTAAAAGTGTAGCTTTTTGAACGAGAATGATAGAAATATTAATAACTACATTTTGTACATTTAAAATATTTACATAATAGTGCATTATGCAGGATGTTGCTAAATATAAGGTACAAGGAGGTTCAAATTCGCGGCTCACCATTGTGATCTTCGTAACGGTAAGAGATACAGTGTTGGTTAAATAGGGGCAAAGTTGCCTCTTTTTGTGATTAAAAAACGCATTTGAAATTTTTGAAAGATCTTTTGACTGAGATATCACCAAAAAACTGAAAATGTCAAATTTTGTTTTCATTTTACATGGTCGGAAATGGACGGTTCTCGTTACCACCTTCTATGGGAAATCTGAATCTGAATTTCCAGAACACGCTAAATGTATAAGCTACAGGCTAATACTTTCTTATTACTTATGGGCTCCATATTGGATTTTTACGCAAAGAGATACAGGGCAAAAAACGAAAAGAGTTCCAAATAAAGCCAGGGCCAACTGGGCCATTTTAAGAATTTTCTTTTATTCACTCATACAATTTACCAGCGGCGCACCGAAAAAAGTTCAGGGGTACATGACACCTAAAAAAACATAACCTTGTAGATTCTCACTACCATTGACACGACGATGTAAGTCCTTCAGCATAACTTATATTTCAAATTTGAGCTAAATATCTCCTAAAAAATAATGAAATTATAACACCTTGTAGAACGGGGCGTTTGCGGATTTTATATGAACTTTTAGTCATAAAATAAGCCAAAGAATTAGCCCCTTCTGTATGTACATCATATTTAGTAACACCCTGTATATCATACGCATGGCATTAGTGATCTCAAGCAAAACTTATGGTATTCTGATGAAAGGTCTCATTGAAATTGGTTTCTCGAAACTATAACTTTCCTGCGCAACTCCTTTTTGAGACCAGTCGATGGTGGTTGAGATTGAGTTTCGTACCTCTTATCAAAATGGGGGGGGGGGGGGGGGGTGTACTGGTTTTATCCTTCACGGTACTGTAATGAAACGTCTCAATGAAAGGAATCAATTTCTATCAACCATAATAATATTACTCCTCCTCAACCGATTATCATGATCGGTTATAATTCCTTATATTTCAAGATTGGATTGTGGGAGGAGGGTACTCTCAAGGGGTGGATCTTCTAGACGAGACACATCTACTGGCGATGTGAAAACTTAATCGTGAATATCTCGTAAATTTTGGAGGAATGCAATTTTCTACTGTTATCCTATGGTCGAACCACAATAAGAAGTAGGTACACCTTCAAATTCGAAATAAGCAAAATTCCCAGTTGGAAGTTGATAGTAGTAGATTATTAAACGATAATCAATAATACGCTATTGACGTGTGGACATGAAGTGAAGTCACATTGGCTAGTTGGCTGATTTATTTTCTCGTCACAAACAAAACACTTCCTGCTGATTTTGATGACACAATGCTCACGGCATCGTTAAATGTGACACCAAAACATCCCACTGAAACAAATAAAACAAAACACTAAATATTTAAATGTGAGGCAAAAATGTTTTTTTTTTTAAATTACCGACTTTCCAGAGCACATATCTCAAAAACTGGACGAGATATCGAAAACTTGACTGAGTAAAACTTGTAGCAAACTTAAGCATTGTTCATTTTGCATTGAGTGGTCATGTTGCTAGGGCGTATAGTTTTCAAGATATAAACGGAAAACCTAAATTCAACCTTGTGTTCATTAAAAGCGTTCATCCGATATCGGAACGAGATATCACATGCGGTAAATCGCGTCGCTGTCGCAAAGTGTGCAAACGCCCTAAGCCAAAGTTCCAAATCTATCATTCATCTATCAGTTGCTTAGGAACACCATTTTATAGTGTATACTTATCGAATTTGATTTATCAAGGTTATATTGTATTCCTTACATTGTAGTCATTTTAATCTGAATAACTTGATTAAAGGTTACTGGATAGAGTGCAGTCGGAAGATCCGGCATGGAAAGACAGTGGAGCAGCTTTTATTAGTTCGGTGACACGGTTGCTTGAACGACTCTTAGACTACCGCAGTGTAATACAGGGTGACGAAAATCGCGACAAACGCATGTCGTGTACTTTTAATTTGCTTGTGAGTATTCGACTGGTCCAACAAAAAGACATGTAGGTGTTTTAGAACTTCTACAAAAATGAATTCAATCGCAAGGAGATGTATTTGCGCTACATTTATAAATTACACGATCTGCATATGTCGGCTGATAACTTTACAGAGGCGGGCTTCACGATGATGTTATATGCCGATCAGCTATCCTGGACCAGTAATACATTAGTTGTAGATTCAAATTATGCTGGTTATAGGGAGTGTGAAGTGAAAGAAAAATTGTATCATTTAATTATTAGCCATTTTGATAGGGGAAAGGTTTGTATGCGATCTGGAATCTTTTAAAGCTAATGCGCATGATTTTAGTGTTGGGAAAAAGGCATACCACTGCTCAAAGAGTTGGCTAATCTCTACGAAACACAGCTATTTAACTATAAAGCTTTAAGCGATATTTTAAAATATCAAGCGAAATTTTATGACAATATTTTAACACAACTCCGTCCCGAACCGGAATACTTTCGTGTCGGATTTTATGGTTTAAGTTTTCCGCTTTTTGTTAGAGTAAGTCTTGTACACATTTTCGCCAATCACCTAACTTTTACCTTTCAGAATAAACAATTTATTTATAGAGGTTTAGAGTATGAAAGAATAGGCGCATTTACACAACGATTACAGACTGAATTTCCATCCGCACATATCCTTACGAAAAATACGCCTCCTGATGATACTATAATTAATTCAGAAGGACAATGTATCCTTTATTTATTTTGCCTTATTTTATTTTGCCTTTATTTTTGAGTGGACGGGGTTTGAGCCAAGGCTGCTCTACCAACCCAACTCACTATACATTTACAAATATCCATACCCGAACCCGGATTCGAACCAGGGACTCTTAGCACCACAGTTTAGCTTTAACTGAACTGCGCCACACGGGCCTTTAACTAGTTTTATTATCCCTCAAAATGTTAATGTTACATTACGGATCTTGAATTACTGTCAAATTGTTCTGTGTAATTTCCTTGACACATGCATCCAGTTATACAGATAAGTAATGTGAAACCGATCCCCGAACCCAACCCCATAGTATTAGCGAGCGATATACCCGAAAAAATATCTCGCTTTTATCATTACAACGATGTCAGACGTTTTCAGTGTGACCGTCCAGTTAACAAAGGTATTGTAGACAAGGATAACGAAATTAAGGTATGGCTCCTGGTGGTAAGTTGCTGAAATTAATCGCGTATGTTACGCAGACATTATGGATAGAGAGAACGATTTTGGAAATTGAGAGCTTACTACCTGGAATATTGAGATGCTTCGAGGTAGTGACAAGGCATACCGAAGAAATTGCACCAGTTCAATATGCGTGCGAGACGATGGAGTCTGTGGAAAAAGAAGTTCGTCATCTCATTGTCGTGTACACTGCAGAACCGAAAAGGAACCTGAATCCGTTTACGATGCGCTTACAAGGAATTATTGACGCCAACGTTCAGGGTGGGATCAGCAAATATCAGCAGGCGTTCTTTACTCAGGAGTTCACGAAATTATTTCCCGAGCATATGACGCACGTGTACAGACTAAAAAATCTAATTTTCGATGCCATGCAGGTGTTAGCTTGCGGATTAGAACTGCATGGGAAATTGGCGCCCAGTGGCGTGCAACCTTTACATCAACGACTTTTAGAGCGATTTGCACAATTGCGCCATAGTTTAGGTTCGATTAACAAATTAAAACGGCAACAATCGGAGAGTATTGTGAAGTAAGTTTGGTAAAATTTTATTTCACGAGTGATATAATTTCAATTTTAGTACTCCACTACCTCCATTACCAATAGATAAATTACACTTCAACGAGAATCATAGTAATCGGTCTTCTGGGTCAAGTGGAATTTATGGGCAGATGTACGAACAACAAATATTAGAAAACGACGATATTTACACAAAACCAATGGTATTTAATCGTAATTCTAGTAGCCAAGTAACTTTCTATGTAAATCAGCATGTTGTAAGTTATAAACATCATTGCATGTGATTACTAAACTTCTTCTTTTTGTACTAACCTCAATCAATAAATTCTTTTTGAAATTTCTGGTTTGATCACCTATTTGCTTCTATTAGGAGTTCTTAGACCGCCTTGGACCTAGCCGTGAAAATTTAACACTCCCAATGGTGTCTACCGCACCTCCGATACCGCAAAGGGAAAACAGGCCACGTTCCCAAGGATACAATACCACACCAACCAATCCTTTGGACTCGGCCCGTACGCCGACAAGAGGAAGTGTCGATTATTCTAGTTTACCTCCCATGAAGTCACGGTAGGTCGAATATTTGGCAAGTAGGTTTACGTCATTTGTGTTTCCCAGGGATTTGGACACCTCCGAAATTGTTCTACCTCCGAAACCAACTCACAGTCGCGAGCGATCCCTAACCAAGCCACCTTCTCCGCGTTTGCTTAGGCATTCTGTCGCCACGCCAACCGAATCAACTATGCGAAATTCGTGGCCGGAGAGTGGTACGGAGGAAGCGCCGCCATTACCTCCAAGATCGCATAGTAAGTTAAAATTATTATTAATATTACCAGTTCCCCAGCTGGCCAGCAATGGGTCTAATATGAATTGAAATAAAAATTATAGGCAATAGTGTTTTGTTTCAATGTGGTACTTATACATAGAGAGTTTTTCTTAATAGTGAACATAAAATGCAAAAACAAAAAAGGCTTACTAACTAATTTGTGCAATTAAACTCATAGAATTAGCAAAACTTCCGCTTCACGTGCTTGTTGAAAGAGTCTCTTCCGGATAGGAATGAAAATGTTATGATTTGGGACTTGTGCGTTTTGGCACGAAAGGAATCCAGAGATGGCGTTAGTTACACTCTAATTATGCCCACTTAGATGTTACAGGGGTTCTCTGACTAGTTCTCAAAACAAATCCAAAACATTATGGAATTTGATCAAATACAATAATAATAACCCAGCTAAAGATCGTGACATTATGTTGTTAATTCCCACAACTAACGAAGTGACATCAGATATCTTAAAAGTATGTAAGATGTTCGTCAAACACTTCAGTAGTTCACAAGCGCGACCTAATAGCCTAAAGGGCACAACGTCCAAACAACACAACCCTGTCAGCATGTTTTTTGATCCGGTATTGGCTAAGGATATATATAATGTTATCACGCCTTTGCCCAATAAGAAATCTTCAGGAGACGATGGAATCACCATCATGGTCTGTAAAGCAAATGCGCATAAGATATCAACTCGATTAGCTGAACTGATAAATGCTTCATTCGTCCAGGGTAAATTTCCTGATTCATTAAAGTTAGCTTTGATAACACCGATATTAAAAAAAGGCGATCCAAAAATAATAAAAAATTACAGACCTATTTCTATCCTAAGCGTCTTCTCAAAGATAGAGAAGATTTTTGTTGCTAAGCTGTGGCCCTTTTTGGACAAACATAAAATCGTCACTGATCGCCAGTACGGTTTTCGCCCAGGTTGTTCCACCGCTACAGCAAATTTCGAGTACATCCAGCATTTATTCGACGAACTTGATGAAAAAAGAGTAGTTGTATCCGTGCAGTTCGATTTATCAAGTGCGTTTGACAGCGTCGATTGTCACATGGTATGCGACAAATTAGAAGCTTATGGCATCAGAGGAAACATTAACTCATGGATATCATCGTATCTCCAACATAGGAAGCTGCGAGTTAAAATACACAGAAACCTGTCGGACATCTACAACACAGACATGGGTACCCCTCAGGGTAGCGTACTTGGTCCTATAATATTTCTTCTCATCATTAATGATCTCCCAGAATACATTCAAGACGCAAAAATTTTCATGTACGCTGATGACACCACCGTTGCAGTTAGTGGACACAACGCAAATGAAGTTTCCATCAAAGTAAACAAAGTTTTACAACAATTTGACATATGGTGTTCTACAAATGGGTTGACCATTAATTACTGTAAAACCGTATTCACAGAAATTCACTCTGTCTACACCGCACCAAGTACTTTTTCCTTTAAGATGAAGGGTAATAATATTCCTAGGGTCAACAATGCTAAATTTTTAGACATTGTCATTGATCCTAATTTGTCCTGGATCGATCATGTCTCTAATGTCTGTGCAAAACTCAACCAAGCCTTCTATGTAATATTAAACCTAAAAAACACAATTCGAGGAGATGCACTGCTACAAGTATATTACGCTTTAGTGTACTCTGCACTTAGTTATAACGTCATCGTCTGGGGTGGCTCTTGTTATTCTGACCGTGTTTTTATTTTACAAAAAAGAATCCTGCGACTTATATTTAATTTAATCCCTACCCAAACGTGTCGGGATATTTTTCGCGAACACAACATTTTAACATTTTTTTCTGTGTACCTGTATACTTGTCTTGTACATATTTTTAGGAATAGGAGTAAATTCGTGACCCACAGTGACATACACAATCACAACACTAGATCAAAGGGTAAAATTTGCTTAAATAAACCAAATCATACATTTTTTAAGAGATCTCCGGCGTACAATGCTTGCCGTTACTTTAATGCACTGCCTAGGTCATATAATGTAAACTGTATACCGAAGTTTAAACAAAAAATTAAATCTATGTTGATACATAACGCGTTCTATAACGAAAAAGAATTTTTTGATTTTGTGAAGACCACCTCGTAAATGTATTGTTTGTGACCATGTATTACAATGTGAAATTGTTTTTTACTAAATAAAAAAAAAAAAAATAATAATACCGTGAACAACAATCATGAGTTCTTTGTAATGGAGAAAATAAATTGTTAAATCAACTTAATTGGCCAGTGCTTTTCCGTCCCTGTAATGCATCCTGTAACAGGGGATTCCTCTCTGGAACAAGCATTTCATTTGTTATTACTTGATTAAAATCAACTGGTCTGTAAGGTTCGCAGGACTTGGCACCACTTGGTTAACCTGTTATTTATGACTGCTAAGGTGTAGGTGGTGTAATTGTAAGCACGTCTATAGTTTTGTCGAATTGTGCAAATAAAATCCCAAAATTCTGTGTCCACTTGACAAAGTGTTCTTATGGTCGTAAACAAAATAAATCACAACATTGTACAGGATGACCCGTTTCACACCTCCAATGCCAAACCCAAATTATTATCACAGCATATAAATTTTCAACTGCAGGGTGGCTCGCTCTCATTGTTGGCAATTTGGCATTATTTCAACATAGAAAAACGAGACCCCCTGCAGTGTACACCACAATATTAGTGAAATATTGCCCAAAAATAACTAACCAAAACAGTGAAATCAAAGTACCATGAGCAAGAGCGCAAAAACTTGCAATTTCATCTCTATTTTTTACTTTTCTCCACATACGTATTTCAAACCTGTAACATAAAGTTCCTTGTGAATACTTGGAAATAGGGCCATCATACTGAAATATTACTAAATACGTCATAGCTTTTGCTCTATTTTTACAAAAATTTTGTTATAACATTCAAATTTCAGCTCCTGACAAACGACCTGGTTCCATTACTCTCAGCGAACCACCTCCAAATATTCCTAAAAGGGGACAAAAGAAACTATCCACCACATCAATATTTAGCATAGACTCGATCGTCGACATTTCCCTTGAAGATTTGAACCCAGACATCACAGCGGCAATTACTACACAACCGGAACCAGACGGTCACGATCTGCGCGATTCAGGCATTAGTATTACAGATAACTCGCACCTTAACAACTTCAATAACACCTGCTACGAAGAATTCGACTTACGTACGCATCAACAGGAGATGAACATCAATTCGAGTCCGCAAGAGTTTAGCCCCAAAATGGAAAATCCCCCTCCTATACCACCGAAGGCGACTTTAGGTTTACAGTTAAGTTTAAATTCTAGTTTCGATTTAGGTAGCGGTAGCTTAGAACGTAAACCGAAGCCGGCTGAAGCCGATGTGTCTTCTCCCGGAAATTACTCGGTACCTAAATTACAAAACGAAAATGGGGACGTTGGTAAAAGTAGCGAAAATCCGTGTTAGTAATAGTGTGATTACGGTTTCATTTCAAACGTAAGCATTCCCAAGAGTATTTATTCCAGAAATCCGAGAATGTGCGGGTCATTTTTTTAATATTGTGAAGTATTTTCTTATGCAATGAATTTTATTGTCTATTTAATGTGTATAGTCGTATATTGAGTGGGTCACATGAAGTAAGCAAAATGTATTGTTGGGCCTAATGTCTGCTTTGCTTCCTTTGAAATGGACCCTCGTTCAGGCCATTAGTGAAAGTATAGTCGGGTGTCATATATTTTTTAATATAACAGAGTGCCAACGTTACATATTAGCAATACATAGTGTCATTTGCTACTGTTAAAATCAGGGCAACATTTAATGCTATTTTGGAGTTACAACTTTATAGTAAATATTGACTCTTGATTATTTGCTTTGCGCCTGCACTGGTACACTTTGAGTAATTTATCAAATGATTGGGGTTAAGTGCCAGTATGCTATTTTGTCTACTCTAAAAATAATGGATGGTATTCGCAAAGAATAGTAAATATAAAGAGTTCGCTATTGATGAGGTTAATGAAACGTTGACATTTGGATTTTCAAATTCTTGTGGGCACAGGTAGATATTCTGTACAAAGTGTTGCTTACCGAAACTATATCAGCAGTTTGGGCGTTGTTGTTCCCCCAGAGACGCGTTGAAGTAGATATAGGGCCATGTGACGTTATAGACAGTGAGTTCTAGCTCACGAGTTTGGCCGATAGGCCTGTGCAATACATTAAACAGGTCAGTTTCACAGGTGAAACAGGTTGTTTAATATGAACAAGTCTATTGAACAGTCATGTTTCTCTATGAAACAGACCTATTTGGAAGCACAATTCTGGCGTGTTACATGAATTTCGCCCAAATGCGTGCTCTAGAAAATCACTGTCTGTAACGCCACCCTCCTGTCTGGCATAGGTGGCCATATATCTACTCAACTGGTAGGATTCTTGTGTCTGCCCAGATATTTGCAATGAATGTTGATGCTACCTACATACAATGCTGTGTTGCCAAAGTACATCAAACTGAATGTACTTTCGCAAATGCATATCCGAATATAAATTCTTCTTCTTAAAATTTACACATATATGCGTTTAGCGTTAAATCTCTTTATATTTGTTAATCTTTGATAATGCCTGGTCCGAAAAAACTTACCATGACATTTTAGGCCCTAAAGTTGCCACATTTGTGGTATTTAAAGACCTATTTCTACATCTGAATAATTGAGAGTCCTCAATTGTAGCCAGGATACAGAAAAGTCTGTCACAGAATATGAATGTAAAAAAATGGTACAACAATTAATATTAATTAGTGCCTGGTCGCCTTATAATTGAACTGTCATGTGCTCACGTAACGTTTTCGATATGCCACCAAGGCGTTTAGTTGTCAACTTTTCAGTATTCAAGCTATTATTGCATACTCATTCGAAACACAAAAGATTTTTATCAGTTGCTGTTTTTTATTCTGCAAATCAATGTTATTTGCTTGATTATATTTGATGGGTTTTTGAAGCAAAGTGGTGCTAATTATACAAACATGTTACAATTTTTTCATACATTAAAAGTTTTTGAGTATGTTGTTTTGGAAGCAGTTCCTATATGTTTGGAATATCTGTTATGAAATGCTCCTACATTTTACTGTATGTTTAAATTGTTCTTTTTATTACAATTTTTAAGTATTTTAATATCAACATACTAGTCATAAATGATATTTATAAACAAAGTCTTTAATAGTCATATATTTTGTACTATTGACCAAGTATTGTAATTCTTAGTAGAATTCGTAATTGTATTGTCTCTACTTGTAAGTTATGAGATAGAGAAGTAAAGTTTATGAAATGTGTGTTATTCCTTACATAACATTACAATTTATGCAATCATTATGCTCCTTTCAAAGAAATAAGTAACCGACTCAGCTACAAACAAGGCAGTAGAGAATAATGCCAATCTTTAGTTTGTTGTTCAAAAACATCAACCCTCCACCCATCGACAGTAATCTCAAACATTACAGTGATACAAAGGAAGTCGCTGTTACTCCTGCAAATCGCCCAATATCTACTTCATATAGTCGTGCTCCTAGTTCCAGTGCCGTCGGTGGAGCCTCACTTAAAACATTAAAATTACGGAACTTAGAAGAGGTAATCGTGCTGGTGGCAATTATAGTAATACAAACAACTACAAAGTTAGAAGTCATCTCTAAGTTACCTTAAAGTTTGAACACTACCTACTCTGAAGTATTGCTCACATCATTGTAGACATATATTTTTAATTGAAGGAATAGTGGCGGTCATTAATCCAAAGGAAGGTGGTATAATGGTAAAATAATAATAAATATCCATAAATCTGAACATGTAAAATTAAACTATTTAAGATACATATAATAAATTGAAAGAATGATTGCCAAATGCTACAATTTTTTTCCCTTTGCGTTCGTTGAAGCATGGATCCTGGACATCCTTTTTTATTAGAAAATTGATTAAAAAACGAAAATTAGAATGGGGCTAAGTAGTGGGGCAATAAAATGACCCCTTTAGGGTCCTATTCACTTTAGCGAGTTGCTCAAGTCGTTGATGTAATTACGTTCTGGATTACTAAAAATGCAGCTTGGGCAGTCACCATATGTTATTGTATCAATACGCAACCACTTTACTCTGTAATTACACCACTAATCTATTTTTATTTATTTATTACACTGCCGCCAAAAAGCCGCCTTGCAAGCTGTTTTTTCATAAACAACTAAATTTTGGATAACCAATTACAAACCCTTGTGGAACTTCAAAGTGCAGTTAGATTGGATGAGCTTATACCAGCCATTATTGTTACTTACCCACATATATTACATATATGCTTACCCATTACCATTGAACTATATACTCTGTAACTGGAACGGCATCGAGCGCCAAAATCGCGTGCCGCAATGATTTTAGGCAACCAGCATAACGTAGGTATTCTCATCCTTGTCTGGCACGTTGTTTTGTATTGCATATGCAGGACCGATCACACGTATTTGGTTAAAAATACAGATAAGTACATAAACTGGGAGGTTGGGGCCTTAGAAAGATAAAGATAAATGCTTGCCGATGCTTTTATAAGAGCCAATATCGATTTGTTAATGGAATATCTTAAAATATATACTTAATAATGTGGTAAACTGCGCCATTTCTCACTCACACACTCACATACTTGATTCTTGAAGTTACAAGTGTAATGTCAATTAATGTCATTCATGGTGGCTCGACGCATTCCATTTACTTATTAACGTAAAATAAAGTTATAAACATTGGTTGTGTTCGTTTGTAACGTACACTTTACATATATTAGCAAGGAGGTACCTAATATATATATTACAATTGGCGTCGAGGTAAAAGTAAATCTAAAAAAGCACTTTTTTTCAGAATAAAATGAGTTTAAAGAATCATGGTTACTTTAAGAGCAAAAATTCAATTTACTCGTAGTGGTAATTGGACCAGAGGGTTAATTGCGCTACTTATATAACCCAGTTTTCTTCCAAGATGAAATGTACACCGAGTTATATGAGGTCAGAATTACACCTTCTACAAAAGGTCTCCCATATTTTCCGGAACTCACCTTTATAACTTGACCCCAAAAAAACTCAAGACCTGCAAATCCTTCGGAATATTTCGTAGGGAATTAAAAAAGTTTTTCAAATGTAACTGCTTCTACACCATTAAAGCATATGTGGATGGATATGGATGTAGAAAATGCAAACCGTGATATTTTCTACTCTAACTTTTGTGATATACCTGTGTGATATGTGTACCTATGCTTTTATATTTTATCTTTACACTTTGACGCCTCTTAATGTACGTTCATTGTACGCCGAAGGAATCGGTAATAAATAAAAAAATCAATCCTTAAAGGTATTTTTCGCCCCATTAGTGAGCAGTATCAATAATAATGTTGAGTAAAAAATTAAATAATAAAGCATATTCAAATTAGTAAGTCAAAACGGCTTTATAGGTTTTGGTGGCTTTAACGCTTTTCTTCATATGATGCTCTCTAGCGAGTGGAATCATTGAATTAGTATTAAACAGTGGGAAAGAAGAATTATCATTCATAAGGACAGTATAAATGAGTGTGAGGTACATTAGTAAAGAAATCTGAGCGGTGCAAATGCCGTCATGCGCAAAAATATTAAATGCGCGCGTCGAGGTTGAAAAATGTTATCAAAACGTACCCATGAAATTGAATATTTGAATTTTTATTATAAAAATGATTGCACGTATATGCAACATAATTCATGACTATTCTAGCAAATCTCTTAATAACTTATTTTAGACAAAAATAAGGAAAATGTAAGACGTAGTATAAACCATCCCATAAGCCCACATGAGTGGAACAAGGTAAGGGATACCTACCTCTACCCATCTCTCTCTCACAAAAATTCTCCACGGCCCCTGGCAACGGTTTATTACGGGCGATGCCGTTCCAGTTACAGAGTATATAGTTCAATGCCCATTACTTATTACAGGACTACCAAACTTAAAAATGTTGGTTTACAGGAAATTTAAACTAATAATTATTTTTGATCGCTCGGTATAAGAAACGGATAGGATCCACATTCACAAATGACGTGCAGGATGTGATATTAGACACAGCCAAACAATTTAAATTTTACTGCCATGTGTTGTGTTTACATATTATTTACAATTCTTAAAATTTAAATAATGTCCGTTGAAGTGTGTTACACATCGTGCTCGTCTAATCAAACCCCAACCTGCGTAAACTGGGGTAAAAATAACTTGATTTGCTTTGCGTCCTGCAATTCCATTCGAATTTACGATCCTTGGGTAAGACATAACCTTCAAATTGCTCATTATTTTCACGTTATCTTCAAGTGGGGCAGTGGAGGAAAAATATTAAACACATTATGCGGCCATACACAACGTGTCAACTCCGTAAAATGGATTGCTGGGCCTCGGTGTGAAACCGAGCTTGTTTCCGGTTCATCGGATGGAAATGCTATTGTTTGGAGTTTGAAGGGTGACGATTATGTTTCGTTTGTACTGAGAGGTCACGAATCAAACGTTAACATTGTGGACTGTTTATATAGAGATTCTGAATGCAAAGCTGCAGTAATAGCCACTGCTTCGTTGGATTCGACGGTGAAGGTGTGGACCAGGTCAAATGTGGATGGTAGGATCCATTTTCAAACAAAGTTTTACCTAACGGAAGAATTTTAGGTGATTTTGAATTAAAACAGAATCTAGTGTTTGGTTACGGTATTGCAATGGCAATGCGGATAGCATTCCTACCGGCCACAACAACTTTGGTTATGGCTTGCGGCATGGATAACTCTAATATTCAGCTATATGTCGAGGACAATGACAGATTTTGCGAATCTGAAGTTTTGAGGGGGCATGAGAATTGGGTGCGAGGTTTAGATTTTACAGTGGATGGTATTACTTCAAGCGCTTTGGTTATTCTGTTGTTCAAAAATGATTTTAGATCGGGGCGATTTAATTTTAGCTTCTTCATCTCAAGACTCCTTGATACGTTTGTGGCGGTTTTCACATGTTTCAACCAAACCTTCTGCAGATGAGTACGAGTTAATTTTAAAAAAGAGCCGAGTTAAGACGTCGAATTATGACTGTGTGATATCATTAGAGTCAATACTAGCCGGACATGAATCTTGGGTGTATTCTGTGAATTGGAACATGAAAGATTTCACTGTTCTATCAGCTTCACTCGATAAAAGTATGATTATTTGGGGATATGATGCCAATTCCGGCTTGTGGCTGGAGAAAGTTAGAGTTGGCGAAGTTGGTGGCAATACTCTTGGTTTTTATGGGGGAATGTTTGGGCCGAATGGTGATACTATTTTAGCTCACGGCTATCATGGAGCTTTTCATATATGGAGTTGTAGTAAAGTAATTCATTATTAAGCGTTGTTTAATGTAATCATAAGGTAATTTTTATAGGAAGGTGATTCGTGGGATCCAGTTGTTACTGTAAATGGACACTTTAATGAAGTTGCTGACCTGGGTTGGGAGCCACAAGGTGAATTTTTGCTGTCAGTTTCCACAGATCAAACTACAAGAATTCATGCTCCTTGGACTTTTGGTGATAAGATAACTGTTAGTAAAGCTGCTTTGTTTATCTGCCCTTTCGAAATGTTTCTATTTTAATATATTGTCCAAAATGGGGTTATGATCAAACAATTTTCTTTTTTTAATATTAATTTCTGCATTAAATCTGAAAACACAATCTTTTTAAAACAAATGAAGATAGGTATAAAACGCTGTACATGAAATGTTTCAACAAATCAAAAATTCAATAATATATAGGGTGTATTTAAAATAATAGGTGATATTGGTCACTGTTACATGAAGCATTCTGTATAAAAAGTTTTTGTTGGAAAAAATGCGCAACTAAAAATACCATTCCACAACAGGCTCCCATTTATTATCGAATTTATTCTGTTTGGTGGATGCACAATGACAAATAATAATGACAATGACAACTTTTCATTTGTTTCTTCATTTGTTTCTTGTATAGTATAATCGATTCTGCATATGTAAGTAAAATTCTTGAGCAAACTACTCAATATAAAAAAATAGCGTTCTGATGAAGAAAAGCACAAAATTGATCATATAAAAATGGAAAAACAGGAGTAGAAATTAAAAATTTTTTTTCAAAATAAATAGAATCCCAAATGTCTAATTTGAGAGGCGGTTTTAAAGTTTTCGTTTCTTCTTTAATATTGCAACGTAAATTTAATTCTCTGATGTATTTATATAAAATTAATTATTGATGAATTTATAACGGACGTGAAATAGATTGATTTATAACATTTCAATAATTATCAGTTACTTGCAGACACTTAATTTATAAAATAACCGCGAATTTATCATTTCGACATCTATGTTAAGACTGAGATTAAACACAATTCAATTTGGTTATAAATCTAGAAGGCATCTTATATTTCACAGGAACAATGATCCACATCTGCTATAATTACTTAATTCTTATTTTCTTCATCACGCAATTCACTGGTTCTATTTTTATAATCTGAAGCCCGCGTTTGGTTTCAGACGTGGCACGAAATTTCCCGTCCGCAAGTGCACGGATACGACTTGAGTTGCATCGCCGTTTTATCCAGATACAAATTTGCGTCCGGCGCCGAAGAAAAGATAGTCCGAAGTTTCAAGGCTCCTAAGAATTTTGTACAAAACTTTTGTAGAATATGCCACATTGACGATAGCTACGAGGAATGCAAGTACACATATTAATTATTTGTTATATAACAATCATTGTTGTATTTACACAGCGGCAACTGTAGAACCGAAAGGTGCCGCCGTTCCTTCGCTTGGTTTGTCGAACAAGGCCGTTTATGAAGATGACAACGCAGATCAAGCTACGGCTAAGACTACAAAGGAGCCCTATCCTGAAGAATCATATTTCAAGGCCGTGGACCTTGCCGGTAAGATTATTTCGCGATATTTTTATCACAGGGAATTGATACAGAGCCTCCTACTGAGGAAACATTGCTGCAAAACACTTTATGGCCTGAGATTCAAAAGCTGTACGGTCACGGTTACGAAATCTACTCTTTAGCTGCTAGTCCTGACGGCGTCTTACTTGCTTCAGCTTGTAAATCGACGACAAAGGAACATGCAGCAATTTTAATATGGTAATTTCTGTCATCTCATTGTAAATTTTCTAAGTCTGACCGCAGGGATACATCAACTTGGACCCAATTACAAAAACTCTATTCTCACACCCTAACAATAGTCCAACTCGCCTTTTCCCCTGATTCCAAACATTTACTTTCCGTATCCAGGGATCGTCGTTGGTCCATATTTACTCGAGATACTGACACCAACACATTCCAGCTGAAAGGAACAACCGATAAGAAAACGGGTATACACACCAGAATTATTTGGTGTTGCGCTTGGTCGCACGATTCGCAATACTTTGCAACAGGTTCTCGTGATGGAAAAGTTGTCATTTGGGGGCGCAATCCCGATAAACCGCCAGAGGACGTTCTAGGTCAATATGAAGCAGTAGGACATGTTTTGGAGTTTAAGGGCGAATCTGTTACCGCACTTGCATTTGCTCCAGTTACAGTGGAAGGTTCCTATTTGGTAGGTGTCGGTTTCGAAAGTGGTATTATAAAACTGTACCAATGGAACGTCAAGGGTTGGGAATTGTTTTCAATTTTAGATAATCGGTTTGTACATTTTCATTAAAGTGTGAAAATATTTATGATGCTTCTTTGCAGTTCGGCTCATCACTTGACTGTGAGGCGATTGAGTTTTCGACCAGTTGTTGGTGAAGCAGGAAGCAAAGTACGAAATAATAGATTGCAATTGGCAAGTTGTGGTTCTGATTACACGCTTCGGATATACACTATTAATGTTAATGACACATGATCGAGATAATAAAATGTATATCTGTTTAGATATTTGTAATTGTTAATATGTCCTAAAAATTCCAAAACAAACAGGTATTGAAAACATTCAAGTGTATACCAATGCAAGCACGGAAACAATATACGAGATAGTCCATTTCAGAACTAAGGGCGTGTGAGAACATTTATTTAGCCCTGATCATGATATTTGAATGTTAGGTGATTCTTTGAATAAAGCTACTCAACGATTTTTCTCGCTTGAAAAAGGAGGATCTAAGTAAAAAATTGAACCCAAGGCCGTGGTAACATACCCCTATGGTTAGGTAGCACACGGGGGTGTATTTGAATGTAAAAGTGGATAGTGTCGTGCTCAGTTGTTTCGATGGCATAAAGAGTTTAAGTAGGGGCGTGAAAGCGTGGATGACGAGGCGCGGAACGGAAGACCAGTCGAGGTGAGGACGGACGCGAATGTACAGCGAATGCGCGCCCTAATCCATGAAGATCGGCGGTTAACAGTTCGAATGTTGGCCTCGGAACTGGGTATGAACCGTGAAACAGTCAGACAAATTTTAACCGACGATTTTGGGATTAAAAAGTTGTGCGCGAAGACAGTTTCAAAGAACCTTTTTGAGGAGCAATAGCAGCATTGAATGACCGTCGCAGAAGACTGTTTGGACCAAGTGGAAAACGATCCCACGCTCCTTGATCGAGTTATTATAGGCGATGAGAACTGGTTTTTCCGATACGACTCGGAAACCAAAGCCAAAGTTCACAATGGTTATCTTCGCACGCCCCCCGCCCGAAAAAAGCTGGTATGAGTAAGTCAAAGGTAAAAACGGTGGTCATTACCTTTTTTGATAGCCGTGAAATCGTCCACAAAGAATTTGTTCCACCGGGGCAAACCGTAAATTAAGTCTACTATCGCCGAGTACTCGAAAGATTGCGAAATCGAGTCATAATCCAGTTAAATTATATTTTTACCAGGAAAGTTGTGGGGTAGTTTTGATTTCTTTGATTCTATATGTTTTTTGGGATGCTGAATCCGAAGGTTTGCCAACAAAATTTCATGACGCAACAAATACAAAAAAATACAAAAGAAGAAAAGAAAAAGATTTTTTTTTTGCAGTTTTGTGCTTACAACTCGAAAACTATCAACTTTTCGAAAATAACCTTTCTATTCAAATTGAAAGTACATAAATTTTCTGATAGATTCCTCCATTTAGTTTTTTCCTCGTTGAACCGTTCGGGTTCAAGCGTCAGTTGAAAATTGGCGTATTTCGGCTGCCTCTAAAACATAGTTTTTTCGCACTAAAACCCTAAATTAATATTAAGGGTCGTCAGTAAGTGAATTCCTTGCAATTACCTACTATTATATTTGAACTATATACCGGCGGGTGATTCATTAGAAGTGATGATCGCTTGAATTTCGCGCGTAAGGTTTTAGTATTTTTTGCATTAGTAGATTGACGGTTTGAACTTCGTTTTTTTCTGCCATGACTGTCATTTAAGAAACCAGTGTCGCCGTTAATTGTTGTGTGCCATTTGCGGTTTATTACTTTTTCCATTTTGAACAATGTTTAGAGTTGATGCACTAAAATATGTAAGAAACGTGACTGTGTCTAGTGTTAATTTATAATTTGTGGTAAAACAGAAGCAGTATTTGTAGATTGTAGTAAACGATTTACTCAAAGCATGATGATACACCACTGCAATTAAATAAAAGATCATCAGTTAGTACCAACTTCATAATTTATTTGATTTGCGGGAAATTCAAACTGTCCTCACTTCTAATGAATAACCCGGTATAAGGGTGATTTTTTTTCATTTACATAACGTTCAAGGCAGTGGCGGACTGGCAAATTGAACTGGCCCGGGCAACCGAACAGCACCGGCCGGCGGCCACATAATGGGGGGTTGGTTATCGTTTTATCGTACAAGTAATTTGTTTCGATTTTCAATTCTAAGTAATACGCGTCGCGGAATCAGTCAGCAAGTAGGGCGTAAGTTTGTGCAGATGGAACGATCATATAATAACGGCGATAACGCGAAAAACAATTAAACCACGTGATTATCATAACAATGGGGCAATAAAAAAATTGAAGTGTGCCTTGCGCCGACGCCTACGTTTTTTAACGCGTGGTCATTTGTAAACTTTCGTTAATATCGCGTGGATGAAGAATAGTATATTGAAAGACAAGTGTTACAATGCGACCTATTGTAATACGACTATCTTGTGGCACGAGTGGCGTAGCGAAGCGGAGCCACGAGTGTCCACAAGATAGGAGTATTACAATAAAGCATTGTAATACGTGTTTTTCATACTATTTTTTCTATTTCGGGGCTTTAATTTAATTAAAAAGTAATTATGAAAAACTAGAGGAAACTTTAGAATTAATATGTCTTAAGTTGGCAACACCATTTACGTTGACAAATTTTAAGTTGACAGCGTAGATAAACACAACACTGACATTTGAAACATTAAATTCCGTGAATGTGTAATTTTTTATTCGTAGATACATTTATTTATGGTGGATGTGTAAACTGCTGATTTGGAATGTATTAAGTTCTTCGTGTACCAAAAATAAAGGAAAACATAAATTTTACGTAATTTGATTTCACATCTGATGATTTGACGTTGACGTCTTGGCGAACTGCCAACGTAGAGATGAAAAGTTACCAAAAACAATGTTACAATGGAACTCATTGAAACACTGTTTTTGCCGAAAACAGTTGCACAAAATTCTCATTGTAACACCGAAATAGAAAAATTATTTTTTACCTGGGGAAGATGGTGAACGATAAGGGAATCCAATTGATTCTAAATAAACGTGTACCGAAACAAATATAGAAAACGTGGGTATGGCTATAGCATTTGCAAAACCAAATTTTCAACCTGGTGTTAGTTTCGCTTTTGTTTAATAAAGTGTATATGTATGAAATTTCATTTAATTGCACAAAACCAAATTTGGAAACCGGCGCTACATTTGCTTTTATTCCAAGTGCCTATGTAAATTTTATTTAAATTCATAAATAAAAAAGTTGGTACTGCGCATGCACAAAACCAAATTTTGAAAAAAGCGTAAAATTTGCTTTTATTCCAAGTTCCTATATGTATCAAATTTCATTTAAATCTCTCCATAAATAAGAAAGCTGGCACTGCGCATGCGCAAAATCAAATTTTGAAACGGGCGTTACATTTGCTTTTATTCCAAATGGCTATGTATCAAAATCAGATAGTTTGCAATTCGATTTATAAATGATCGAGATGCGAAAAGGGCACTGCGAATGTCGATCGATTAGGCTCAATATTTGGAATTGCGATTTATGTTTTATGTGAAATGAATTGATTTTCATGCAATTCGCGATTCATAACTCACGAAGATGACAAAATAGGGCCTTCCTTATTTTTTGGGCTACATTGCCAATTCACGAACTTCGATTTACAAATTTGATAACGAATCCACCTACAAAATTTCATCGTAATTGGTCCATTCGTTATCGAGACACCGCAAAATTATAAACTCGCTAGGGGCTCGTTAATAATGAAGTAAAAAAAGGCGAAAGCCTTAGGTATATCTTATTTTCTGGACCTTGCTGGATCCATACTGAACTGTGCTGTGATAAGAGGGTTATAGCTAGTATTTGTAGGTAGATCATATAGGAAGAAGTTAAAAGTTTCTATTTTCAATATAAAATGCCCCCAACCGTTTAGTAAAATTTTAAGTTTTAATCATCGGTCATATCGAGTGGTTAATCCTTAGACAAGGAAAGAGAGGGTTAATCCCTATGAAAAGAGAGGCTCATTATATCTAGATCACGGTGAATATTCCTATATTTTCAAAATTCTCGAAGAAGTGGACTCTCAAGCAATTTCATAAAATACAGTAGGTATAGTGTGGAAAAAATGAGCACTAATTATTGATCGGTACCCTCATCTCAACATAAGCACAAAGTATAGAGCACCTTCGTAAGGATAGGGGTAATAAAAGTGCAATTTAGAGCTTGAATTTGAAGTAAATTGAAGCTTCTTGGCGGTTATGACGGAGCGTAATGTTGATGAAATAAACTCAATAATCGTGTGTATAAAGGTAATATTCGGCAACAATAGTGCGATAACGATCTCTAAGTTTGTGTAAATTTAGCAATACAAAATTAGAAATTCTGTGATTATTTCGGCAAGTGGCCCTTTAGGGAGCAAAGATAACGGAGTTAATGATCTCGTAGAAGTATGCAAAGATGTACTTAAACTATTTGACTTCATCTTCGTTATCTTAGCAGGTAGAATGTATACCTATCTACGCTAGATATTAGACTTTAAAATGATCGACTAGTGTGTTTTAGTTTGCAATATATACCTACTATCTCTCATGAACAAAAACACAAGGAAACTTAAGTGGCTGCAAGAGATCTACCATTTTATCTCCTCCAGAAATGTTTTCCTTCCTTGTGAAAAACATTCTTTCTTAAAATGTTTGAAACGAATGCCACGTTAATATCTCCTGTAGAGGTACTTCATACGATTTTATAATGAAAACGCATCATGGAAGGTTACTAGAAAATTCTGTTCAATGTAATTACCCCAGTTGGTTTACGTTTATTTATTGTAAAACTTTGTGCAGTTAAATCGATTGTTCCTTCAGATAACTCTTTCTGCTTTATACGGGAATTAATTTTAGGATTAACTTTTCACTTAAATTTGTTTTTTATCGGTATGCAACTGCTTCTTGCCCTAATTTCGTTTACTTCAGGATTTGTGTTACCTAATTTATTTGCTCAGTGGCAGGCAATTCTGTGTTAACGCAACGTTATTGTTTGCGTATGTGGCGACCATTAACGCCAATCGGTACATCCTAGGAAAACAATACAAAGGTTGTCTAGGTGATACAAATTTAATAATTAATAGTTCATTCATTCTGTTCATGTTTCAAAATAAAAATAGTTCCTATTCCTGTATTATGTAATAAAACGCTACACGTATCTGGTTTTTTATTGTCGTCTGTGCTGTTTAATCAACATTAAATTTGTTTCGGTTAGGTTTATGTTAGATAGTGTTGCGGAAATTTAAAGTGCATAGGTATTTAGACTTAGGTGTTTAAGGTGTGTTTACGAACCCAGTAAATTTAGAGTCTCGTGTAATTTGGGAGAGCTGAGTGTGTGATTTATAAATTGTTTGTGAAAATTTTTTTTTGTAAATCTAGTTTTTGTGGTTTTTTTTGAAGTAATGAATAGTAGCATGACGGTCTCATTTATTTATTTAAGTGTTACCCCTGAAGTTCTACGTGACTGGATTGATAGGTGTGAAATAAGTAATTAAAGTTTTTTCTTGAGGTAAGGTGAGGTGTCTACGTGACATTTCACTATTTTGTATTTTTGGTGTGGATCAGGTGGTTCAAGCAGCAATATGTAAATCCAATCTTTGGGCCTGTGGAGAGGAGAGTAGTACTAAGCAACACACTAAACCCACTGTTATCAAAGGCACATCTCGGGCGCCATGCAAAAAAATTCAAAGGAATATTCATATTTTAACTGACAAAACAATTAAAAAAAAAATTTACAGGTTTCGCAATCCATGCAAACATCGGAAACATTGGAAATGATAACCGTATAAACACCATATGTAAAATATGAATAAGTCACCCGGAAAGAACTTTGTGAATAATAAGCCTCATAACATCTCCGAAAGGAATACTGCTGAAGTCTCTTGGATTCTTTGTACGATACGATTACTTCTGCAATTACCTTACCTCTTCAATTAATCTGGTCTTGAACCGTCTACTTTTATCGTCCGATTTTAATTCCAACTTTCTGATTTCGCAATATAATTTATTAATAGCCCATTGCAAGAGCAAACCAAAACTAATTTACTTAATTTGATTCTTGAAATTTTTGCTTTCGAAGTGGAATTTTTCAATGATTGAAACTGTCTAAATACTAAAACTATCCCACATTGGTTTTACCGAAAGAATTTAATTGTAGGTACTATAATTCCACGATAAAACTGAATGGGTTCACGAAAGGTCTGGTCTAACGAAACCTCTGGGTCCGCGTTTTAAAATAAATCTACCAGAAAAATCCGCTTTAGTGAATCTGTACCTGTACAGAAGTTTGGTCAGTAAAGAAATATTACGAATATTTAACACAATCTTCTGTACAGGTACAGATTCACTAAAGCGGATTTTCTGATAGATTTATTTTAAAACGCGTCACGTGCTTGAGCTCCACCAAGGTTTAAACGCGTATGGAATTTTCTCTCTGACGGCTTTCCGCTTAGTGTCCGAAATTCGTCCCTACTTTTTCAATTTTAGACAATCCGCCTATAAAATGTCGCTAATAGGTTATATCGGACATCTTCAATCATTAACCATATTACTTCAAGTACGTATGTTGGCCGTCTAGGTATTCTCTTCTATTTACAAGTGGAGGCCAACTAGGCAGCACTTAGGCACACCAAGGGCCCATTGTGTCTATCCCCTTTCTTAGCCACTAAGTCTCTGATCAAGGTGTCACAGTGACTCACCACATGATCGGTTGTTTTATCTGCCTCGTCAAAGAATCTGTACATAGACCCTCTTACAAGCCCAATTTTATGCAGATAAAAGCTTTTATACTTGGTTCCTGTATTAAATCTAATCATTCTTCTATCTTTTTTTATCTCTGTTCGGTATATTTTGATTTTCTTTGCTATTGGGTTTAGTGGTAATCCCAAATTTATTGTATTGAATAGTGGCCGAACCCACAGCTAACGGACTCTATTAACTCGGTAATTTGTATTACTTCATGTTTGACATCTGTTGCACTATAGGTAAAACAGGCAATGATTCGCAAGTGTATATTTTTACTTGAAAATAACCCTTTAGGATTTTTTAATGCTGTTTAGAATGCCGCGTACCAAAGCTGCTCGCCTTTCCCCACTTTCGTCTATTCCGCCCGCTATCATCTGAGGATTTCATTATATAACTTCGAAACTAACATCCTATAAGTGTTTTCAACACTAAAATTGTCGAAGATCTCTCTCCCTAAACGATCAAGCGGTTTGATCAAATGTTTGATCAAGCCGCTTGACGCGCGCTTCAAACAACCATCAAGCAGGCCTTCAAACATTTGATCAAACCTCATCAGATATTTTGTTTAGTTCGTTAGTAGTTGTTCATTCGTGCGGTTCATTCGCTAAATAGTTGTCAGTGTTGTTTTGTGAGCTTCAAGTGATGGTTTCAAATACTGATTTGGCCTTCCTGGCCCTAACATTGGTTGTCCTCAACAAGCGGAAAAAAGAGAAAACGACGGTGGTCCAAGGAGTGGTACAAAATGAGAAACCGTTTTTCTCATGACCATTTAATACGTTTTCTGCGGATTTAGGAACCAGAAGACTATAGGAACTTTTTGAGAATGGACGGAGAAAGTTTCGATTATCTGCTGGAGTTAGTAAGGCCCGACATCGAGAAGAAGGATACAAATATGCGTGAAGCGATTCCTGCAAGCCAGAGACTGTCTATCACACTGAGGTATCTAGCGTCTGGTGCAGATTTGGAAGACCTAAAATTCACTTGCGCCATAGCACCTCAAACTCTGGAGTCCATCATAATGGAAACTTGTTCGGCAATAACGAAGGCATTGAAGAAAAACATTCAGGTAATTATTTTTGAAGTAAATCTATTTATATTTTATTAAGAAAAAGCACAATGAATGTTAAATACATTTAAAAACAAAAGTTCACATTGAGGTAAATGAAAAAAATTTGTCGCAGTCTCATTGTCTTGGTTTTGCCCATGATGAAAAGAAGGGCTTGGATGCGATGAGTAGATAGGCTGCGCTGAGTTGGAGTAGTCTTGCCAATTTGAACTATTCAATGATGATGAAGGTGATGTTGAAGGTGTCCAGGGTCGAATAAATTTCACTCCTTCCCTTGTTAGGGTGCCCATTTCGGCTTCAAAAATTGTATCATTAATAATTTTTTCCGCAAAACGTCGTTGATCCGGAGGAATTTTTTTCAATTTCATAGCCCACCCCTTGGCCATAATGTCCTCTTCGGTCTCAGGCCGCTTGAAATATTCGGTGGCTAGTCCCACTAATTGCTCATTAGTGTCTACTCCTTTCCTTTTATTCCTTTTTTTGAGGAGGGGGAGCTGGGTTAGAAGTTGGCGTTGTATGAATTCCAGAAGGAGATGTACTTTCTGAATCTTGAGATAGCTGCGAGTCGACATCAGGCGGTGGCTGTAACAAAAAGTAAAATACGGTTCATATAAGCTTACGAAATGTAGGCATATAAACAATTTATTACTACTAATATTTTTTAGTACGAAGTAATAGGTACTTTTTAGCGCATTTCCACAAAAATAAAAAAAAAATGCGCTATTGTGGCCACTTTGTCCGTCCGTCCGTCCGTCCGTCCGTCCGTCCGCTAACTTTGCGACGCTACTAGTTTTTTATCTTAAGAGCTATTGTTCTACTTTTTTTCGCTATTTGGTTCGTTATGGTGTCGAGTCTTGTACCAAGGAAGGAATTTTTTCTGTACCGCTTACAAAAAAAGTTATTGTAAAAAAAACAAAAAACCGTTTTTTACATGTTCCATAATTTTACACTTTTGCCGTTTATTAACGATCCTAGAGATCGTTTATAATTTTGCATTGCTATCTGTCGTCTGCCTGTTGGTCTGTCCGTCTGTTCCTTTGTCTGTCTGTCCATCTATCTGTCCGTGTGAACGATAACTTTGTTTAGAAATGTTCGATCGCTTTTACATCTCCGTTAGTTATGAACTGAATTGCATGAAATTCAATATGGGCATAGCTTTAGCCATATAATACGCAATGCCAAAAGTTGAATCGAATCGATTCAAAATTCACAGTGCCCTTTTCGCATCTCGACCATTTATAAACCGAATTGAAAACTTTTTTACTTATAAAAGTATTTGAATGAAATTTGATACATAGGCACTTGGAATAAAGGAAAATCAAACGCAAATTTCAAAATTTGGTTTTGCGCATGCGCAGTGCCAACTTTTTTATTTATGGAAGAATTTAAACGAAATTTGATACATAGGCACTTGGGATAAAGGAAAATCAAAAGCCAATTTCAAAATTTGGTTTTGCGCATGCGCAGTGCCAACTTTTTTATTTATGGAAGAATTTAAACGAAATTTGATACATAGGCACTTGGGATAAAGGAAAATCAAACGCCAATTTCAAAATTTGGTTTTGCGCATGCGCAGTGCCAACTTTTTTATTTATGGAAGAATTTAAACGAAATTTGATACATAAGCACTTCGAATAAAGGAAAATCAAACGCCAATTTCAAAATTTGGTTTTGCGCATGCGCAGTGCCAACTTTTTTATTTATGGAAGAATTTAAACGAAATTTGATACATAGGCACTTGGGATAAAGGAAAATCAAACGCCAATTTCAAAATTTGGTTTTGCGCATGCGCAGTGCCAACTTTTTTATTTATGGAAGAATTTAAACGAAATTTGATACATAGGCACTTGGGATAAAGGAAAATCAAACGCCAATTTCAAAATTTGGTTTTGCGCATGCGCAGTGCCAACTTTTTTATTTATGGAAGAATTTAAACGAAATTTGATACATAGGCACTTGGGATAAAGGAAAATCAAACGCCAATTTCAAAATTTGGTTTTGCGCATGCGCAGTGCCAACTTTTTTATTTATGGAAGAATTTAAACGAAATTTGATACATAGGCACTTCGAATAAAGGAAAATCAAACGCCAATTTCAAAATTTGGTTTTGCGCATGCGCAGTGCCAACTTTTTTATTTATGGAAGAATTTAAACGAAATTTGATACATAGGCACTTGGGATAAAGGAAAATCAAACGCCAATTTCAAAATTTGGTTTTGCGCATGCGCAGTGCCAACTTTTTTATTTATGGAAGAATTTAAACGAAATTTGATACATAAGCACTTCGAATAAAGGAAAATCAAACGCCAATTTCAAAATTTGGTTTTGCGCATGCGCAGTGCCAACTTTTTTATTTATGGAAGAATTTAAACGAAATTTGATACATAGGCACTTGGGATAAAGGAAAATCAAACGCCAATTTCAAAATTTGGTTTTGCGCATGCGCAGTGCCAACTTTTTTATTTATGGAAGAATTTAAACGAAATTTGATACATAAGCACTTCGAATAAAGGAAAATCAAACGCCAATTTCAAAATTTGGTTTTGCGCATGCGCAGTGCCAACTTTTTTATTTATGGAAGAATTTAAATGAAATGTGATACATAGGCACTTGGAATAAAGGAAAATCTAGCGCCAGTTTCAAAATTTTATTTTGCGCATGCGCCGTGCCAACTTTTTTATCTATGGAACTATTTAAGTGAAATTTGATACTTAGGCGCTTGGAACAAAGGAAAATCTAACATTAGTTTTAAAATTTAGGTTTGCGCATGCGCAGTTCCAACTTTCTTATTTAGAAAAGCATTGAAATGAAATTCTTCTCATAAACTGAAATTGAAGTAGCACGTCAAAAATGGATTGCCCATGTGCAACGCTATCTTTCATATTTGTGGGCGGATTTTTACGATTTTAACAGAAGTTGCATCTTACAAATGGGAAATGAATGCAAGTGGAAATGCGCTTTATGTAAATCGTTTACGATTACTTTTTAACTTGTTTTAAATGTGGTAATTTTTATGTAAACTTTAAAATGCTAGTATCGTTTTTTGTTTTTCGTTTAGGTTCCGAAATCGCAAGATGGATGGGAAAGAGTATCGCAGGAGTTCGAAGAACAATGGAATTTCCCCAATTGCTTAGGGAGCGCTGACGGTAAACACGTGGCAATCCAAAAACCACCCAATTCCGGATCATACTATTACAATTACAAGGGATATTTCAGCATTGTGCTTATGGCTGTTGTTGATGCTAACTACAAATTTCTGATGGTGGATGTGGGAGCGAATGGTCGAGTGTCTGATGGTGGCGTTATGAAAAACACCTTATTTTGGCGCAAGTTGTCTGAGAACCAGCTTAACTTGCCTGATCCTCGACAGTTACCAGGCACTTCTAAGAAATGTCCGTACGTGTTTCTTGGCGATGAAGCTTTCCAACTTCACCCTAATTTCATGAAACCGTACAATAGGGCTGCTCTGACAAATGATAAAACGATTTACAACTACAGACTCTCCCGAGCCAGAAGAGTAGTGGAGAATGCGTTCGGAATATTAACGAAAAGATTTAAAATATTTCAAAAACCCATTAAATTTGAGCCATTAAAAGTTAGAAAAATCGTTATGACATGTTGCCATTTGCATAACTATTTATGCTCAAAAAACAGAGCTAACTATTTGCCACCTCAGAACATTGACAATGAAGACGTTACTACTGGTGCTAAGGAACTTGGGTCATGGAGACAAGACACTCCACAGATGCTTTTCCTTCAAAAGACTAAAGGCAATGCAACAGTATTAGCAAAAACAGTAAGGGACGACTTCTGCGAGTTCTTTAACACCTCTGGGGCAGTTCCGTGGCAAAATAAGTGCCTCAATTAATAAGTGACAATATTTAGTGTTGATATATATTTAGGTTTTGAGTTAAGTACTGTATTCGTGTAATACTAAACTAATTAAAAATGTACAATAAAAATAAAATAAAAAATGAAGATATAAATACTTACCTCAGAAGTTTCAGTTGCTGCTATTTCCAACTGATCCTTTATGAAAAACATATCATTGTAATACCACAGAGACGATTCAGGGATGTCATCCGTAGACGTTCCTGATACTTTTTTCCCCTCGATGGTCTTATACATTCTATTAAAACTTGTTCTCAAATTATTAATTTTTGCTTTCAAAAGCTTCACTGTAAAATCTGGTTTCAGTACTTTTAAGGCCTCTACGATTTTTTCCAACGCTGCATTTTTTTTATTTGTATTAAAATAATCCTTGCTTTTCACCTTCCACAATTCGGGAGAATCGCGGTACAAGTCAATTAACAAGGTTATAAATTCCCGTTCCGAGTTTTCACATTCACTCTCCATGGTTTTCGCCTAGTGACTGACGCAATGTTTGACAAAAACCGTTCTAGACGATCAATCCCCTCTCCAACCGTTTGAGTCAAACAAACTTTCTATCAAACAACATCAAACCTCGCTTCAAACGTCAAACAAGTTTCTACACGTTCAAACACGTTTGATCAAACATTTGATCAAACCGCTTGATCGTTTAGGGAGTGCTTTACGATAGTTAAAACAATGTTGACTTTCGCATTAGTACAATTTACAATAAATAACAAGAAAAATAGTAACGATTTGTGATTGTTCACTGCTTGATCGGGGGCAAGTAGTAGCTTTGATACGACTTCGGTAAATAAATAAATCGGATAAATGTGCAATTATCTGCGATAGATTCTAAAAGAATCAGGTTTATTTTCCAAGGAAAACAAAACAAACATAAAAACATTTATAATGGTGTAAAAAGAAAATTATAGTTATGTGGTAGTAGTATAGAAATAGGGAAGCAAGAAACCTCGTATAAGTTGCACGTGTTGCCTGCTTTTGCAGAGAAATACTCTCGAAAGAAAATTAATTTCATGCCCCCTGAGAATGTTGCAATTAGACCTCTTAGTATTTCGATTTATTTGTGTCATCCCGAAAAAGATTTTAGTGGAAATGGTGTACAAAATGAAGTCTAATTCCCTAATTAAAACTTTTTCGCGTCATTAATCGACTAGTATGTTCCATATTGCCTAAAGAGAAAATGGCATCAAATGGAATGAACCCTTTCCGATTGTCAGTAATCTCAAATAACGCGTGCTGGCTTTTTCAACGGTAAAGAATGATTGAATCACAGAAGTGTTCAAAGAGAATACGGCGTCTAAATGATCAAGTTGAAAAGTTACCACTTATAGCTAACGGAATTCAATACCGAATAAAAGGAAATAGTTTACGAATACAACAAAAGGAACAAGATTATAACATTATCTTACTTTCGAATGTATTCCTTGAGAGGAGCATTTATGCCGAAAATAAAAGTTTTGATTGTCTTTGTCCTCGTAACAATCTTTTCCTTATTACAACAAAATAGAATGTGGACACCATTTAACAAATATTTCTCCGCCTTAATTTATTAGAGATTCATTCCTTTCTAATATATACGATGGTATTACATTATATCTTAGTAGCTGTCTGACATACATGATATTAACATTGAATGAATAGGTTATTATGTAGCCATGAATAAAAGTCGCCATCAAGAAATTGCTAAATAAAATTAAATCCAGATCACCACGGCGCGGCGCCTATAGAAAAGATTTGTGGATGTGATCACAATCTTACAGAAATTCAGTATACAGGGTATAACAATAAATTGTAGGGAGAAATGGAACAAATGCCAATTTTGGGACTTACGTATCAGCGCAGCAATTTTTTCCTCTTCTGTTTTTGGTCAGCTAACATACTGACATATATCTCTCGAACCTCTTCTTCTATGCTGTCCATGCACCTGGATTAGCAAAAGGAAATTTATCTGGCGGACTTACACTAACAGGAGCTGTGACATTAACCGCTTGAGGCTGTTTGGATGTTTTTGCAGCTGCTTCGTCTTGACACCCAGGCATGATGAATTTTTTTAAGAAACTTCCGTGTATGATTTCAACAAAATTTGTTTCTTTTTACACATTCACTAAACAATAGTACACCGTTGCCATAGTGTTTGATCATAGGGTTCGTGAATATAAAACGTAGTTTTTCACGGGTTAACTTTAACGAAGAAACCGAAAGTCCATGCGTACTAAGGTGAAATTCGACAAAGGTTGCAATTTAAACATTGTTGGGGTTATCAGCACCTAAGAACTTTCCCAGTGAAAGAAAGTTTTAAACTACTTAAAATGTAGGTTTTATGACCCATTATTCATCCCCAAATGTTCAGATTTTTTCTTCGCTCGTTTCAAACGTCATCATTGTCATATATCTCGTTGTATATATTATTTAGCCACATATTTTGATCCCGAATGCAGAGATACTGTGGAAGGACTTCTGGGATTGCAGGGTGTATGCGGCGATTCCTACATCGGGAATGAATTTGCAACAACATTTCGCGGGGGTAGAGTGACCCCTTGGATAAATCATTGGAAGTATAGGTCAACAATTTGAAAAATTATTATAAACATCGTAATAAACATGTTGCTTTCACATTTGGTAGTAATACATCTTAAAATAACTAAGATATAAATTCCAGTCTACCGGTCATTAATTAAAACCCGTTTGATTTTGTTCTTCTTTTGATTTAAAGTTCAATTTTCTATATTCCTTGTATTCTACTATAAATTTTCTGTTTCGTTTGTGGCAATCCAGATTTTTCTTATTCTCAGTGTCAAAAATGCGGGATTTGCAAACCATACCTGCGGTTGCGTTTACCAGAATCACAATACCAATTATTTTAAGCGCGGATGCACTATATAGTTTTGGAATTCAAACAAATTTCTCAAAGGATTTCTTCGGAAATTTCGTCTAAAGCAGTTTGTAGTGTTGATGATGTAAACTCTGACCAAAAAGGATCTTTAAATCAAATAATTGATCTGTGTAGGTATGTCTTTATCTGGTCTTGGTTTAGGGCGCACAACCAAAGCCGCTCACTACATTGATGTGGGTGACGCAAAATATTTTAAAAAAAGATTTAAAAAAATTTTTCCCTTTACCTCCAGCAATACGGATTCACGAAAAAAAGCTTTAGATAAAACGCTAGAAGTGGGAATTGTTCTTCCATCTACCTCGCCATGTAATGGGTGTTGCTTAAGAAAAAAGAGAGCGAAGAGAACCGATTATGGTTTGACGGTAGAAAATTCAAGTCTCTTACAAAAAGAAGATGCATATCCCTTCCCTTACGTTAATGGTATTTTAGACAGACTTCGAGAAGTGCGTTATTTACATTCTATAGATTTCAAGCAGGCGTTCTATCAAGTACCTCTTTATCCCGATTCATACGAAAAAACTGCATTTACGGTACCTCGGCGAGCATTGTTCGAATACACGGCGATGCCATTTGGAACAGCAAACGCATCGGTCACAACAAAGGCATGTTTCCAGTATACTTGGGTGTTCTATGGAAAATGTGACAATTTGGACATTTTTTCAAAAAAACATGAAAATTACACCCTATACCTATTTCAAATGGGATGCGTAGAATCCATACAAGGTCACAGATTTGTCTTCGGGTCTTTCTTTCGGGCCCAAAATATTACCAAAACGGACAAATACAAATCACCATTACCGGAATAATGCACGTTCCAAACCTTTTGTAAACGCCCATTCTCAATTATGTTTCCAAAGGCACCGATAAAGCTTCTATAAGGAAATAGGAAGATTTATATACGCCAATTAGGTTTATCAGTTTATGTCAATATATGCGACATATAAAACTAATAAATAAACTTACCGAATATAAAATGAACCGGGCTAGAAAAATGTTTCCATCGGTTTAGTGAAAAAAGCTGCGAATAAGCAATTAAACTAGTAGTGAACAATTTATTATGACATGGTGCAGTTCTGAAGTTTCAGAGATCACTTATGTAGAAATAAACAAAATTCATACGAAAATGTAGCAGCGCGAATAATAAACTTTCGAAACTTTCATTGTTATACAATCACGCATCATTATTAAGACTGTTTTCACCTGTTAGAAAACAAGGGAGCTATTTTCCAATAATTGGTAATTGTGTAAATTTATAATGGTTGTGCAATGGAAAAAGGCAGACACACCTTATTTAAGTTGCTAAAACGGGCTTTAATTTCGAACGTGGCAGCATCATTGCGGAATAGGCTTTGTAATTGATTGTAAACGGACTGACAGCAATAACCTAACGCGTTTCGAGTTGCTAATTGCATTTAACATTTGCATACTGATTTTGTGAACAACATGGATTAACCAATTAGTCATACGAAATTGGTCATTATTTTTTTAAAATCACGTTGATTGCAAAAGAAAGACGGCACAAAAGTAAGTGTAGGTAGTGCCTGGTCATTAATGTTGACTCCAATAATTTGCCGGAAATCAATATTGCAATTATACTGCGCGATTTTAATTACCGAATGGAAAGCGTTTACAGGTGCAATATTTCATCTCTATCTACTTATGTAGCAATTTCGTCGTTTCGCATTAGTTTTTATGATTAATAAAACGCATGTCGTTTCGCTTTTATTTTCTTTTAATTGAAATTGTAAATATCTAAACAGATGGCGTTGTCCCACCCAATCGGCGTCGTGTCCTTAATTTCCGTTACTCCATTACAAAGTAATTACACTTGACAACTTTGAAGTCGTATCAACACAACAGTGAAAGTGTTGAAACTGACCGATACACAGACGCAATCCTCAAAAGCTGAGAGAAGGCAAATGAGGAACCCTTTCCAAAGTTACATGTTGGTCTTGTAAACAACGCAGGGCGTGGTTAGCTAAACTTGAAATCCGAAAATCCGACTTGAT